ACAGGATCAACTGAGTAAACACAGCGCAAAAAAAAAATTGGACGCGGGAACACAGTACACAACCCGAGTGCTGAATTTACAACTGACACTTTTTTTTTTTTGCACGAACCACTCATTTTCATAGCACTCCCCTTTTGTGAAACCTGTGTGATCTCACGGTCGAGAAAATATTGCGACCGTGACACTGCTTTTCCAATTTCTGAAAGAAAACGAAAGCACTGTTGCATTTTCTCAAAGACACCGACGTGCTTCATCGTTTGTGCTGTGAAACTGTTACGCGTCGGCCCTGTGAGTGAACTTAATTCTCCTCCTCTCTATAATTTTCCTTCCCCTCTTCCCTTCCCTAGTGCAGGGTAGCCTACTGGGTCTCAGCCGTGGTTAACCTCCCTGTCTTTCTCCTTATGTTCTCTCTCTCTTTCTGTGAAGCTCACAAATTTTGAGCACACAGTAATGAAGATATTTTTTGAGAACCTGCACATTTTCAAGCAGCGCTGTGTCCTGTGTGTTGTTCGTCCCGTCGTCTGCGCTGTTCCATGAACCGACTGGCCCACCTTAAAACCCGTATGCCGTAAACCGCAGAGAACGTCGTTATCGCACAACCCCACAAGCGCTTGCTCGGACCTGCTCAGGATTTCTCGGTCACGTAATGCGCATGTGAACGTGCGTCTCTGAGGCTAGTTGTCCGCAAAAAGCGTCGTAAAGCTTTCAAAGCCTTCTGGGCTGAGGATGGGCTCGGCCAATGACCCAGAATCCTTTGTTCCGACAAAGGCCGATCATCCAGTCTATCCAGAGCTGCAGTCAGTTCTTTAGTGTCTTATAGTCTTTGATCTTGCCTTTTCTTTGTAGCTATTTTTTTGTAATTTCTCGCTCTCTTCGCAACATTTCTTTTTACCATCTTTTATTTCCCTCACCCATTTCCCCAGCATACGGTAGCCAGCCGGTCTAAGAACTGGCTAACCTCCCTGTCCTTCCACTTAATCTTTCCTCCCCTGAACTTGCGTGCACGTGACGTTTTGATGCACACGCGTCACGTGATTCTCCAGCTCCAATGCCGAAGAGGACAGAGAAGGTATTTCGCTTACGAGTGCTACGCGGGGCGAGTAGCAATGGTTTCAAGCTCGCCTCCACCATCATGGTATGGCTTTCCCAGCTCGTGATGAACCAATTAGAAGCAAATTCGTGTAGTACAGCGCTTTTTATTGGGTACGCAACAACTTCCGGTGCCTATATACAGTTTCTCGCGTGACCTGACGAGAGGCGCTTGAAAACTTGCGGGATCAAATGTGGGTCATCCACGAGTAACTTCAGACAAGCACACGTGAGTGCGTATATGGATGACGTCGGCAGAGTGCTGGTAAACCCTAGAGTAATAATGGAGGCATAGTAAAGTCCGGATAACATCTTCATGTTTTCAAAAACAAGAACGGCGTAATGCTGAAGCTCTGAAAACACACAAGGGTTGATATGCAGCCGTTCCGGCCGAAGTCTATGACACCTCCCTACTAGACTCCACCTGCTGTGGACAAGTCGTGCCGTATTAATTCCTCTGGCATACTGATACCTTGCTTGTCTGGTAAACTCGTTTGCTATAATATACCAACAGTGGCAAACACAAGACCTGCGGGTCGTGTGCTAAGAAAAGGTCGCATGCAGCCAAAAGGCCGCATGAGACCTGCACGATTGTCTCCTTCATCAGGAATAAGGGTTAAGGGCAGACTATGGCTGAAACGTCGAAATAAACCACACCACGTTGTGCCTGCTCATGGAAGATCTACTACTTGACTACTTGCAACGCCACCACGGCTACTCCACCAACATACCTGCATATATATTATATATATATATATTATGAACCCACGTCCGGTACGGCAGCAACCAGGTTATCTTTTTTAATCCAGACGCACGAGCCAGAGAGCCAGCCCGCGTAACATACGATGATGATCACTACAATGGGTTTGGTCATACAGATGAAGATGAAGTACATAGTCAGCGCTCACACTATGTATATTATATATATATATATATATATATATATATATATATATATATATATATATACAGTGTCTCTGAGAATGAACTTTAGTGACTTAGCTAACTTTCCCTGACATTCATTAATCGCATATTGTAATTAAAAACTCTTCGTTTGGGTATGCTGCGCAAACGTGACTGGCCTCAAGTTTTTTTTTTTTCGTAAGGCCCCCTCACCTTCTCCACCCCCCCACCCCGCATGGTGAAACGAAGCCTGTGCGTTACAAAATCGGCGCCCAGATTTTGCTAATCCTGCGGATAGATGTAGATATGTTGATCGAATTCCCGGACGGCGCCAAGCCTAAACAACGTAATTTACGCCCCTCAACAGAAGCCCCTTGATGGTCATCCGCTTTTATACTTGTTAAAACATTATATGAATTTTCATCTCTGAAACTTCGCTGCAGGAGGCACTCTCCTAAGTGTAGTTTTTTTTTTTTTTCTCTGTGCTAACTGACCTCACACTGACTTTCGGCGCCGCATCGAAGGTAGCTAGCACTGCTCATTACGCGAGTCTCACATACACAAAAAGAAAAAAACACATTGTTCCGAAACTATAGTGTCAACTAGGGCAGCATATTCCGTGCGGCATCCATTCTTAAAGCTTGCATAGGCTTTCTAATGAACACGCCACGTCGAAACTGAACGTGCACAAAAAAATGAAGGTAGAGCCACAAGTGACGTGTCAAATTCTCTACCCGGTACAAAGTTCCTTCATTGCACCTGCCACTGCACGTTGCATGACAGCCTCGTCTGACGGCACGACGCGTAATCCGACGCTGGCCCTGTTGCAGAGCGCACTGTGAACTACGTTACACTTCACGGTAATTTAAGCCAACCAACCACTTTTCCCTACCGTCCTTCTCCGGTGAAGTGGGCACTTTTTCGTTGTTGGCTGCCTGGTGGAGCCTCGTTACTACGAAGAGTACTCTGTCTTTCGCCACTTATATTATTCCAAGTGCGCGAGATTAAAACTGGCAGTAACTCGTTAACTTCCCCGGGGGCTGAGGACACCGCGACAGGTAGTGTCGGATAGCAAACGCCGGTAGATGTGACGGTCTTAGTTGAGTGGCTTTAAGTTGGAGAGAAGCTTGTAAACAGTAGGAAGGGAAACGGTCCCCGCTGCACAATTTATTTACTAAAAATACCGCTAGAAATGAAGATTTTGTGATTCAGTATATGTTAAATCGTCTATCTGGACTCTACAGTCGATATCATCATACACAGGATGACAGCATAGTGTACCACAAAACCAACAGGTGTAGCAGATGTTCAACTTCAAATTTTATTAGTACTTCTTCTAGTACAGGCAAAAAAGTCTCATGGGGCTGAAAGCTACCGTCAGAATATCGATTGGGCCCAGGAAGCGTTGTACATGACAGCACGAAAACAGTTAACGCTTTGGCACAAAACTAGTAGAAGAAATGTAGTACTCAAATAAACGGTTAGACAACAGGATGTTCGGCCTTCGTCGACAAACTTTTTTGTACAAGTAGCGAAGTAATCGAACAAATGCATGGTAATTTTATGTACATCGTCAAACATTAAAATGTAGTGTACAGGTTTACATGTTTCTGAAATACATCTTCAATTTCTTAGTAGCATCAGCTTCATTATTTAGAATTTTCGGTTAATTGTGTTCGATGAATTACAACTTCTATTTGGTGCGAAAAAGACGGCATAAACAAAGTTTGAGGATTTCCTAAATGCACAGGTGTGTCATAGGATTGCAAGGCCACTACTCATATAAAAAAAAACTCTATATTCTTATTATACGAAGCAAAATAGTTCTGAAGCATGATATCCGTACTACGGACCCATCCAAATGATTTCGTACTTTTGTGATAATGTTTTTGTTGTTGATAAGGGGTAAATATTAGCAATATGCCGGGGAAGCGGCTTTTGTAATGTTATTTCTTCATCTATGTTCACGTTGTGGCCGCCCATGTTGAAGTGTAATAATTAAAGTGCAAGGTGAATAATGCGTGATACATTTATAGTTTGGCTTTTACCAGCGTGAGAGCTTTATATCGAGATAGTACAGCGGTGATTGCAGGGGACTTGTTCGGAATTTTGTTAACATGAGCATCCTCATCTCAAGTGACATGAAAATGTGCTGCCATGATTTTACGCTGAAAAAGCAGCTCTATTTTTTTACGTAAATAAAGGATCGAGTTCTGAAAGTGAAAAGGTATATTTATGGCTCCAAAAATTCGCGTTAATCTTGGTGGGGCTAATTTTGATCACATTTGAGAGTGATCAACCAGATGCATTACATCTCAAAATTATTTAATTTGCATTCTTTTCAGTCAATAGTACACTGCTATTGGGCGCACCAGTTGTTGGACGAACTCGATGCTCCATCTAGTAACGCAGCACCGCAATAGTGTCTCCTCGGTTGTGCGGACAACCATGTATGACAGCCTCTGCCTTCGCACCATCGCAGAAAGCTAGCGCCGCCTTTTATCACGCGTGTCAAGGCAATATACTGGCGGGAAAGTTTGAACGCCACTCTTTAGCTGCTCTTACCCTGTGCCGCTTTTAATTGCGCTAGAAGTGTCACTTCAGGATGGTCACGACTGTGGTGGGATAATATTGTGTTTTTTTCGAGCCTTAGCTCGACCAGAGTAGCCGGTGGCGATTCATTGCAAATGACTGCGATCCGAAAGGAGGTTGTTTTTGTCTACCCTTTTTGCCTATCGCTCCGGACAATCAAGGCGGACAAACACAAACAAGTGCTGCCGACGCTGCGGTATCGCAATCCTCAGGCAACGAGTGAAATCTCGACGTCCCTGTTGTCGAGGCCTCTAATAGCGTCGTAAAGATTGTGGCTCTTCGCTCTGTCCGAGGCAATCAATGCGACGGGGGATTACCAGCTCCCGTGGAAGTCATCGTGCAAGCAAACGTTTCACCGTCTTTTCTTGCACTAGTCTTTCAAAAGGAGCAATCGTACATGCACGTGTTTCGTCACATCCTGTGGCAATGAGCTTCCGCTCGCAGAGCACATCCTGCACTCTCTTCGTTTACTCAAGAGGCTCCCGGACTAGACCGAGTTGATCTTTATTCTAGCGGAGTCATCTCGGGTCGTAAGCGGATATTTGCATAGATATGCCGGACACTGTGGATAAACAGTAGTAAAAGCAATAGCATACTCTCGAAAGCTGGCTCACTTGTGTCAGGGTACGTTTCGAGTCAGCTGAGAAGCACTCAGGAGCTGAGGTAAGTGATCTCTCACTCCAATCTTTTCTCGTTAAACATCTTAGCCCTTTGTGTCAAAAGTCCGACTCTTGTTCGGCTGAGTCTTTAGTTGCTCTGTGTAGGCAAATGTGTTTTATAACAGATAACAGCAATCCGCTACAATTCTTACTCTTCAGGAATGAAAGGTGGGCGTTGCTCTATTCGTGTTTGATGTTGGCTAAGAGGCCAACGCTACGACGCTACGAGGTTCTGTTGGCGGCGGCGTTGTCAACAAGTACGAAATAATACGAAAACGAGTTATCGCTAGTCAATGCAAATATAATCTTCCTACCAACTAATTTCATCACAGAAATTTTGGGGTAATGCAGAACCCAATGAATCCTTGTTTACGTGGTACGTACTTTGTCCGGGTGCTATCAGGCCAATTAGAGCGAGACGTTCTTGTTGATCTCTACAAAAGCCTGTTTGACGTAATGTCAAAGTAAACCGGTGCACAACACAGGACACTCGTATTTCCATGCTTCCAATTTACCAAGTAAATTGGAAGCAGTAATTGCAGCAGTAATTGCAGTAAACACAACGCAAAGCGTTCTGTGACTGAATATTTGCTAACTTTTTGCTAGTTTTCAAACAATCTGTGGTTGGCTACTGCGTCTCTCATAATCATATAGTGGTTTTGGAACGTTATACCACGATAGCTACTACAATATTATTTATTGGCTAACTACTCATGCACTCTGTTTCATAGATGCTATGGTTCCCTGATAAGCTTGTCGCTAATACCGCCTATAACGTGTATCGACAATCTCATTTCACACACTGTGTATCGCTTCTTGCGCTCAGAAATAACGAATTTGTCTTTGAATGCACCGAAACATTCGAATTTCTCTATAGACGCATGATAAGGGATTTTTGATATCCGCATACTGTGCAATTGCCCACATAAGAAGCGTTGTCGCAAAATTTAAAGCACAGACAGAAATAGGGCAGTGGCGTAAGGTGCTCTCTTCAGCCGATTTCGAAAAGTGGAAGTGATAAGGGCTGATTAAAAGCCTCAAAAGATGCACAGGTGTTAACCAAGTATGCATAATTGTTATCCATCAACTCCTTTTATAACCAGTACCAGTTTACCGTGAGATGTCTCTCGCTTTGCATAAAAACCTTCCCTGTGTCCATCCAAGTAAAGTACAAATTTCTGGATGCAGTTCTCTCGTATCTTGACTGAAACCATAATGCCGTGTGGCTTGTGCATTAACGTTTTATGAAGTGCGCATATCTTACGTGTTTCTTACAACAAGGCAAGGGCAGAAATGCATGATGAGTAGACATTTGGCACACGCCTGACACATTTTTTTCTTCTTGACAACATTCAGCGGTTTACCAGCATTTATGTGCGGGAACGCCACCACATTTTCATAGTCTTAGTACTACCAGTTGAAGCAAGTTTACATCGCATGGGCCCAATAAGTTTGAACTCTCTCTGACGATTAAAAAAACTCTCGAAACCACAATTCATTCATGAACCCCACCTTTCATGAGACAATCATCCGCTATGTCAGGACAGTTTGTAGGTTCACTGACCTGCATCTCGGTTCACGTGTCACTAGGACGGACCAGGAATGTATCTTAGTTATTACTGCTTGTACGGCATCTTACAAGCGACACATTCCGGAACTTCTTCGATCATATATAAGCCACGAATCAGTTTTTATACAAATAAGCTTCGTCTTTATGTGCATTTGTAGTTACTATTCGTAGATTAGAGCCCTTTGTAGTTACTTTGTAGAAACTATTGCGTTTTATTGCACTTTCTTTGCAGAAAGGACAACAGACACTCGCTGGTTCCGAAATGGCGAAGCTCTGCGTAGCACTCGGGCTGTGCGCCGCGGCGGCTTTCTTTTCACTTTCCCAATTTGCAACGCGGCGAGGCCGGCAGGGTGACGACGTCAAAGCCTTGTGCAGATGGCTCACAAGTTCCACCGTGCCAGATAGAGTAAGGCAGTGGGCACTGACATCACCACTCCTGAACTGCGCTGGTTTATTGTCCCAGCGACAAGGAGTGTCGTCAATGCATCCTGCTGATAAGTCATCACAGGAGGAGCGATACGAGAAGGTCTTCCCAGCAACGACAGAATTTCCTGCGGAGCCATGGTCCTTAAGTTATGAAGAAGTTGCGTCTACATGGCTACAAGAAGGACCGGAACAGGAAATGGCTAAAGTAAATTCTGTTGATACGCCATCACAGAGGACTCGATACGAGACAGTCGTACCAACAACAACTGAATTCCCCTCGGAGCCGTGGGCTTTAAGTTACGAAGAGCTTACATCTACAAGGCTGCAAGAAATACCGGAAGAGGAAAGGACTACAGTGTTCAGTTCCACACCAACAGACACGGCATTGGAAAACGAACAGACGACACATACGGAGCCGTCAACGCAGTCATCGACTTCGCACAGCGATGATTTGACATCAACTCACGCTATCCTCGTTCCGTCGCACATAGAAGAGTACCAAACAGGATGGAGTGAGAAAGCTACACATTCAGAAGCTGCATTAACTGTACATCGAAATGGTGGCACACAAGAATCTTTCGCTGAAGATTCCTCGATTAAAAATAAAGATCCACAGACACAAGCTGATCTAACTATCACCGACAAAAATGTGGAGCCTAAACAAGAAGGTTTGACATTTAAGCCAGCACCCACCACAGATCAGAATCAGGATCGACTGTCAACACGGCCAACCATACGTCCACCACAGTCTTCAAACGAAGCACATCCAGAGCAAACGACATTTTTATTTTTGAACTCAGCTTTTACACCTCAACAGCAAGAAAACACGAATAAAATGGCTACCGCAGAGTTTGAAGTTAAGCCTGCAGAAGTAAACACATTGAACGAGCTTTTCTCGGTACATATGACTACAGAAGAAGACCATGCCACAAATAAGTTAATTGCTTCAGCAACAACTTACGCAGACGTTGAAGAGCAAGAAGCAGGAAGTACCATAGGCTCTGCTCTCTTTCCTCGCACGAGTCAAGACGGCCGACTGAGGTCATCCACACCAACACCGCCATCCAAACCTGGTATGGAAGATAAGACGACATTTTTTGCTGGACGTGTAACTACAGAAGAATATCATGCCGCAAATGAGTTCATTGCTTCAGAGACACCATACGCGGACACTGAACAGCAAGAAACAGAAAGTACCATATACTCTGTTTTGTTTCCTCATATGAGTCAAGACAACAGACATTGGTCTTCCACACCGACAACACCTTTCAAACATGTCGTGGAAAACAAGACGACCTCAATGCCGGAGGTACTCTCATCAACACATACAGAAACTGGAAGAGATGCTTACGTTAGCGCTACAATGTTTGACAAGTCATCTGAGCATTCAACAGAACTGTCCGGGGCTTCTAAACCGAGCACTAATATTGATGCACACGGCGAACAAGAAACGGTTCCACTTCTCTCAGAAGACCAACACAAGAAAATTGCAACTCCTGATTCTGTGTCAAGGCCTTCTGCTACACAGCCTCAACCTGACACCACTGTGCCCTACGATTTTATTCAACGCCTCAATGAGAAGAACACGAGTGACTCGACACCGAATCTCCCTTCTTATACATCCCCGGTACAAAGCCCTAGTATAACGGTATCTGCAGCATCTGATAATATTTCAAAACCACAATATCATACGACCTCACCACTGCCAGAATTACCCAGTAATTCAAACTATATACACGGTGCGAACCAAACAGCCTTTGATACGCCAGTTCCAGCAGATGAAGCAAGGGAAAACACAACAACTGAGAACCTCTCCACCGAATCTCAAGAGCTAACGTCACATTCGAGCTCCTCTGAGCAGCTACGCTACACGACAACAGTTATTGCGTGCACTATGGCGAATGTTGAAAAAGCCACAACTACGGAGACCACCCCTGAGGAGCCCGATGGACCAAAAGTGGTCTGCTATTTCCCCACGTGGTCTTTCTTCCGGCAAGGTCGTGGCCATTACACGCCAGAGGACATTGACCCACGCCTCTGTACACACATCATCTACGGATTCACGTCGTTAGACAGTGACCCGCTTCATCACTCCGACGCTGAGAAGATAGCAGACGTGAAATTCCACTTACGCAATGTGAGTAAGCTGATTTTCTGGATGTACCGTTTCCTGAGTGACCATCTTTTTTTTTTACATTGCCAAATGCGTTTCTACATCTAGGAGACAATATTTGTGTCCCACTGTGATTTTTGGCCTGCGTCGAAGGGTCGAATGCGTCGTGCGCGACATAGGCGCTTGCATAAAACCTGGCTGTTGACAGAATATATTACGTGAATAACTTTACATAAAACAAAAGGCCATGAGAAGCACGAAAAGACGCAAAAACAGACCAACTTTCTTTTGCATTCCTCTGTTCTGTCCTGCAGTGCTTTAATGTTTTCTATAATTGTGGCTGTTTACTTGCACCGAATGCGCGGGGCAGCCGAAACCTCATCGCGATCATTTCCAATGCAAAATTTTAGCTCCATATGGCACTTGCCGTTGTCTTACCATCAGCCCTCCAAGGAGACAATATTTCTGTTAAATTTGCTCATACATCGCGAAACACGTAAGTTATTTCATGACGGAGTGAGTGAGCACGACGTTACAAGGGCGAAGAAATGAAGCAGACACGGACACAGCACTGCTTTCTTTGTGCTACTATCACTTAGTGCATACCTACTGTGCCATGGATGCTAGCCAACTAGCCCACTAACGTCTTTCAGCTAAAGCAATTTAATGTTTTCTTTACTTAATTAGGTAGAAATGAGTCACAGCGAGAAAAACTTATAATGAAACTTCCCAAGAAAAAAATATTAAGGTGAATCAAAGGCTACCCTATCAAGCTTATAGATCCGTCCATGACGTTACCTGGAGATTGTGACTCTCGCCAACGTCGTGGGCCCTTTGTACGACCTGTAATTGATATCTACGACGAAAAAAGTTAAGCCGTTTGGCCTCTTGTGGTAAGTAGTGTACAAAATAAAATAATTAGTGCATAATAACCCCCCTCTCCACTTATGGACTCGCACTCGGCTGTGTGGAGGAAGCCAATTGACTAATACGGTCAAATAATTATTTTGTTAATTGATTAATTAATTAATTTGAACACACAGATATATAGCCTTCTGGCATAAAGTTCTTTTTTTAGCTGTCGTACTGTGTTGGCACCATTTTTCAACTTTCTTGTGACTCACATAGAGGACCCTCGCTCTAAAGACCGTGAACCGTCGGCTGAAAGTGTTGCTCTCTCTGGGAGGATGGTACCACGGCGTCGGCGAGGACGACAGGTGTTGGGCCTTTGCGTCCAATGCCACTGCAAGGTTCAGATTCGCCCAACATGCCACGACTTTTGTAGCCAAACACCGCTTCGATGGTCTCAACGTTGACTGGGCAAGCTTCAGCGGCGGCGAACGCGAAGACGTGCCCGACAAGAGGAACTTCGTACTGCTTCTGCAGGTCAGACTTAAATACAACTTTTGACTTGGCTTGCGCTTGCTGGCTATACTGAAAATGTAATGGCTAATGGGACTACCAATACAATTACTAACGAAGAATTATAGCAGTATGCAGTAACAACCATCACAGACGCCACACATATCCGAAATCGATACATGTCCGAGACGCCACACAAATGGTCCGAGGTCGATACCTCGAACCACTTAAGCGGACAAAAAACGCACAGAAATTCACCGGCGCCTTGGGCCTTACCTGGCATCAAGGCGAAAGTCTCTTCACCTTCCTTGCCAATTCATCGAAGCTTTCCTCAAATGCTTTATTTGGCTTTCAATAAATCATTGATGGGATCTTCTCAAATAGTCCTCATATAAGTCTAAGCTCCAGCATCTATTGTAGCATTATAGCATAAATATTATCGGGTTACGAGTACAGTGGCCCTTAATTTCTGTAGTGGGCGACTACGAAAATTGAGTGCTTTTGCCTATTACTGCAAATAAGTTTACCATATATCACCTTTTACTTTTCTTTGTTGAAGGCTATCCGGGAGGCGTTCGATGCTTACGACCCCGCTTGGTTGTTGACAGCTGCCATTTCCGGAAACGTGGATGTCATCAGAGAAGCCTACGATGTGGCCAAAATCTTCAAGTAAGTAAATCCTCAACTTATCTTTTTACTCAAACCTACAGGTTTTCTTTACAAAGAAAATTGTAAGTGGTGAGCTGCAGCAAAGGTAAAAAAATGTATTTCAATTACCATCAGTGTGGTAATAATGGCCGTGATATCAACAACCATTAGCCTACGGTTCCCTAGATTAATCAATGCCAATCACTCCTGGTAGTGCGTGAGTGAATTCGGTAGACCAAACATTTTGTCACTGTTCATCTTTTTTTCAAAACTGGGGCAGCAGGGATATAAGGAGGAATGGTATACGCTCTCAGAGATGACGCAGTTGTTTTTTGCATCGACTGTACTGTCCCGTCTCTTCAGGCGAAAACCTGTAATGCCTGATTGCGTTGCTTCTGGAGCGAAACACGCCAGGCGAATGAAGTGGTACAAAAACCTACGTGATCCATGTCCCTATTGACGTCATTGTGATGTCAGACATCTGAAATTCGTGACGTCACTGGTTAGCATTCTCGCTTAGCAAAAGATGAGATGATCCGGGAGTTTGCATCGTGCAGCTGGCATCACTTTTGCATGAGGAGCAGTCTCGGCTCCACAACAAATGCTTGTACAGTACCCACGTTGAGCATATTATCGGTCGCGTCCCAAAAAGGTGCCTTCTTTTTTGCTTACCCTTCTTCAGTTTCAGTTTCAGTTTATTATTCATTTCAAAAAAGTAGTACAGTAATATTAATATACAGACGAGGGTCCCAAAGTTGAAAACTGTAACGGGACCCTCGATGCATTATAACAATCAATAAATCAGATCAAGTTAACAAGCAACAAGTGAATGGAAATCAATTATACAATATAGAGTGATAAGTAATTATTATAGGCTAGGTGACACATCAGGCAACAAAAAGCAAGGCAAATGAGGAAAGAAAAAAAGAAAGAACGGGAAAAAAAACATCTCGTTGCACAATCCTGGCAAGTGTGGTTGAAATTCTGATAATAATGAAAGAGGGTTATGCTAGCGCTTTTCTTCTTAAGGGAATTTTAAGGTGGAGATACTTGCACTGTTTTAACCAGATTTTCCCCAATCTTATGCAATCCTGAACCTAATAACTTTCGCATCTCTACCCTAACATTTTTTTTTACTTGCTGTGGACGACTTCTTCAGGACTGCAATAAAGTTTAGCAACTGCCTACTTTCAGAAAGAAAGAATGAATGAATGAAGGAAACAAAGAAGTAAATAAATAAACGAACAAATAAATGATCAAAAAGTGTTGCTCAGGTGACAGACATAGCAAGAAAAGCCCCCACCCAACTTAAAATTCTTATTTTTACTAGATGACCTCCGTAGACATTGCCGAAAAGTTAGGCAACCCCTAAAGTTTCGCCTTTCAAAGTTAAGCAAAATAACAATCTTTTGTTTAGCACGTATAGGGGACGCGTGGGCTCATTATTTTTGCCACTTTCACTGAATTTCCAGGCAGAGGAGGTTACTTTCAATGTATTCAGAAGCAGACGTGTGCAACCGCTTCCCACCCAAAAGACCCGGGTTTGATCCACAATCTGACCCAGGCTTTATTATTACTTATTTATTTGCATCGTTCCCTATTTTTCGGTCACGCACAAGATCATCATTTTTCGCACTCAACCAACGACGCCGACGTCGGAATTCCTGCGAAACGAACTCTTCGACGCAACCGCCTTAATATGCGCTGTTCTGGCGAGTAAAATGCCTTCCATAAGTTCGAACACGGTGTGCAGCTTTCACCGAAAGTAAATGCGTTTACTGCATGCGACCGTTCGGTCTTATTAAATCATAGAATCTGGTGTTTGTCGTGCCAAAATTACGACATGATGGCGGCCTGCGGAAGTTTAAACTACCCAGTGTTCCTTAACGTGCACTCACGTCTCATAGTACACGGGCCTCAAGCGTCTTCCTTTCACTGAAATGCGCCCGCCCCGGCCAGGAACGAACCTCTCATTTTCGATAAAAGTCAGCAGCCGAACCACGTTACCGCTACACCACAGCGGTAGACTGTTCGGTCTCATTCGAAATCGAAATTGAGATCAGGGGAGATTAGACGGGAATTCATACTGCTGCGATTGTCCTGTGCTTTCAGACTGATTAAGTATTTCTTGCATTTCCTCAACGTCCAGCCAGACGGACTTCACCAGTGTCATGGCCTACGACTACTTCGGCACTGAGAGCCCCGTGGTCGCTCACTACTCGCCTCTGCAAAGTGCCACGGACGAAACCAACCCAGAGAAGAGCATCGTAAGTCTGATTGATTGATTGATCGATTGATTGATTGATTTGCGGGGTTTAACGTCCCCAAACCACCATATGATTATGAGAGACGCCGTAGTGGAGGGCTCCGGAAATTTCGACCACCTGGGGTTCTTTAACGTGCACCCAAATCTGAGCACACGGGCCTACAACATTTCAGCATCCGTCGGAATCCGATCCCGCGACCTGCAGGTCAGCAGCCGAGTACCTTAGCCACTAGACCACCGCGGTGGGGCAAAGTAGTATATCTCATTCCCTTGTTATGAGGTGAGTGCAATATCGAACAAACCGGGTTTAGCCGACATAGCATAACTGTCTAATGGACCGCAGAGAATCGCTGAAGGGCCACTATTCGTCGAATCTATGCCTGCATTGCGGAGATTACAAGTGTTGCCCATTACATCGCGAAAAAAAAAAAGGTGTTGTTCCGGCACAGTGACAGGACAGTGTGAGAGGTTGCTGAGGCTCTTTATATCCACAATTATGCCTACACGTGTGTTGCGAAGTCTTCGGTCGCATTGCACCAACTAGAGATAGATTATCTAGCTGCCAGCATCTAATCTATTACGTAAGTTTTTGCGATTTATATTTGTGGTTTCATCAATAAGCTTTGAAGTGCTAGTCTGTGCTTGTGCATGTGCCATCTTGTCTTTTTTCTGCCTTCTTGCCTTTTTTCTGCCTTTTTGCCTTCTTGTCTTTTTTTCGTGCAGTTTTTGTAGTTAGGGAACACCCTTAGCTATAAAAAGAGTGATTCACTTCAAAGATCAGCCTATAAAACGCAGAATTTTTTAACAGGAAGGTTTTTATGCCGAGGTCCACCATGGCTCCGCTGACGTACTTCCGTTACGGATATGACACTGTGAAATATATACTAATGGTTTGAAAAGAAAGAAAACGAGAAAGCAAAGATCCGCAGCGGGGTGTCGAACCGGTGACCTCATGTACTGCTGACAGTCCTAAGAGCTCAGAAACTTCAGCGCGTTTTTATCATCAGTAGCAAGATGGCACGACGGGCGCGCTTTCGGCGCTCGTGCTTTCAATATTGACATGCCTTGCCACTCCGTCCATCGATAAAGATTTACGCGTTGCTGTGCGCGCACGTCTACACATGGCGTGGTCAAACTGCGTATGTATGTTCTCTAGCGTGGTGGCTCACACGCGGGCGCTTATCTCGGGATTCGGGCACTTTGCACCTCTTCTGCTTCCACCGAAAACTTGCTTTGTTTAGAGAGAGCACGAACTTTACTTCGCTCGCTGCCGCGACCGCGTTTACGAAAGGAGCGCGCTGCTCGCACACGAAGTAAGAATTGTAACAGTTGTTCGCGCTCGTCCTGTGTATAACTGTGCGTTCGTTTTCTGAGTTTATTATTGAGCTGTTACAGTTGTTTATCTGCGTTCTTCCTGTGTATCCTCATTACGTGTGCGATTTCTGCTTGAGGTGCGCGCTGCAAGTTTCGAGCTGCTTGCCGTTATTCGCGTGACGTTGCAATTCGTTGCGGTAGCATTACTTCCTTCTCCCTTGTGGCGAAACAATGCACAATGAGCTCTCAACTACCTCTGCGAAAACACGTTTCACTTTCGTGTATCTCCGATTCCTGAAGAGAGGGTTCAGCCACATGCTCGAGGGCGTTTAAGGGTACAAGGTGAGTTACAGGATAAGTATTTCAACACGGTGGTTTTAGTGACGTCAAAGCAAGTCATTCATAAAGAGTGGTTAGGGACCACCCCGCCGCGGTGGACCAGTAGCTAAGGTACTCGGCTGCTGACCCGCAGGTGACGGGATCGAATCCCGGCTGAGGCGGCTGCATTTCCAATGGAAGCGGAAATGTTGTAGGCCCGTGTGCTCAGATTTGGGTGCACGTTAAAGACCCCAGGTGGTCAAAATTTCCGGAGCCCTCCACTACGGCGTCTTTCATAATCATATATGATGGTTTTGGGACGTTAAGCCCAACGAATCAATCAAATCAGATATACCGCTCTCTTTAGACATTCAAACCGACGTATTCCGGTGATTAGCTACACATTCACTCCACTTTTTTTCTTTGCGTTCAATTTTACTATCCTTCGCTGCGCGGACTCGGCCCAATCTATTCCTGTGAAAAAATCACCTTACTACTGAATCTGTTTCCCACCATTTCAATGCAGTGGGAAAAAGCGCGAATATGTGGAATTCCCGCGAAGGGCACACCCTCATCGATGCCCACCATGTCACGACCGTCCATTCCTCCTTGTTTGAGTTTATTTAATATTCTTTCACTAAGAACACCCAGCTTTCCTTCTGGAAACTTTGATAACCTAAGCCCACTAAGCCGGCCCTCAAAAGCCTCCGACATTTGATGCGGGCACGACTTGCGCAAGGCAGATTCCATACATGAAGTCGCGACACCATTCTTGACTCACTTTAAGTGACAAGAATGAAAATATAAAAGAGCCTTAGCCAACCTATAGGCAAATATCACCAGCACGTGCGCAACTGCCCAATCTTCAATTTATTTTTAAATCCAAAAACTGATTTTTGTCATCTTTTGGAAACTTGAAAGTAAATTTTGAACCCCGGTCCTTCTCTTCTAAAGAGTCAATGTGCATGCCTTTTTAGCACATTGACTCTTGAACTCAAGTAATCGTTCTTCTCAGCAAACACCAAATAATTATCATGGTATGTCACTGTCTGAAATGCTAAACTTTCCAAGCCCTTTGGAAATCGATCCTACCTAACCCCCGTATTCACAAACGCTCCTCGACTTGACTTTCACCCTTCACTTGACATAGTTGAGCAGTGCGCCGCCGCTCGGCTAAAAATGGCGCTGCGCTACTCAGGAATCGCAGCAGATTATCGCTGATATCCAGTGACTTCTCCTGCCTAGATGCGGCGCTCCCATCGGCTTTCTCGAGTGTAGGTGAAGCGTTGAGTGAATGGGGCGTTCTAGAATACGGGTGTTAGTGTACCTCACTCAGTAAAGGCGCAACACGGGAATCAATACACACGCCCATACACACTTTCTCTCCACTCTACTACACAGGCACCCATCCATATGTGTACCCCTTTATACTGTCACGGAATCGTGACGTAGTAACGAAGGCAGCAGTGGGTCAAGACTGCATTTTTTATTTGTGCAAACGCGCACTCTGAAAAAGAAATGTCATTACAAGCAACACACCCCTTAAACAATATCGGAGATAATCGAAAGTCGATAATCTATCAAGCGTTGGAAGACGTCGGTATTTTATACATGTTCCATCAAATATTCCAGCGTTACAGCTAGCAGGCGCGTAACAAACTCTAAGGTTCGAGTTGCGCGTGTATTCTGAAGGGAAAGTTCCCAGATTATCTAGATGGCCCCCACTCATTCGAACGCGTTTTCCGCAAGGCAGCACTTACACGTGTAATGGGGCGGTAACATAAAGACTGAATTGAACAAGCACGTGTGGCAAAACAATGTTTCGCAGTACTCCCCAGAACCAACCAGCCCAGGTGTCAACGCTCTAGCCCCCCAAACCGAAATGGCGATTCGACCCTGCGTCCACACAGAAGAGCACCACCTTGAATAGCTTGATGTTATTGCTACAGACAAGTCAGAAATACGGTGTTTGGATATACACGACGAGTCTTCAGGTGGTTGTTCATTGCTCTCGAGCCATAAAAACGGGGGTTAGGGCGTAAGTTAAGTTTTTTGTTTTGTTATAAAACCGCCAACGCCTGGTAATAAACAACGCGCTTATCCATGCACTTTCGACGCTTGTCTTATCGCGTGAAAGTGAAAACACGCTTTACTGCGTTCGCAGCGAAGGCCAAAGTCAGCTTTACACGAAACAAGAGCGTCTGCTTGCACGTCAACAGCTCGTGGTCACGTGACCTGCAGAAGGAACGTCACGTACGCCGCTTTGACATTACTGTGCAATTCGAATTAGATGCAATGTTCTGTTTGACGTTACCGTGACGAGTGTCGCTATGTTTTCTGTGTTAGCCCGTCTCATTTGGAGCCAGTAGTACACTACGTCATGCCACTGGGCGGTTTCAACGATTTGGCCAGCGTCAGCGCCGCCGAAGCCTGGGTCAACAATGAATTGCGGTTCTGCGAATGCCGTACGTCATAATGGACGTTTCTGCTCGGGTCAGACAACCCAGAGATGCTTAAGTGCAAAGTAGAATCGGATGACGTGGGGCTAGTAGCTATACTCTGCCTGCAAGAAAATTATGGCGCACGTGTGTGTGTGCGTGCGAGCGTGCGGGTAATGAGTTACTGTTCACGCTGTAGTGTAGAGCTGTTGCTACAGCTAACGCTGCATTGGGCTAGAAAAAACAAAAAAAAACATTCGGAATCGGTGTCACGAGCGGTCTCCATTGGTTGCGCGATCAGTTACGTCATTCTGAGCGTCGTTCCCAAGCACGCGTGACATTGGCTGCTTCCTGAGTGACGTCATCCATTCCGTCGCAGCCGTGGCACCGAACACGCGTGCACAAGTTTCTGCTGAGAGCTTCCACATTTGTAGTTTGTGTGTCATATGAACTCCCGAAGAGCGGACAACTTGAGAAGAGTGCCGACAGTGGAAACGTGAGAGAACTCGCATTCGCCGGGCCTAGGCTGGAGCCCGGGCACAAAAACAGGCCCGGAAGGCCGAGTGCCAGCATCAACGGCGTATCAATGATCCAGCAGCCTTCCAAGCGGCTCTAAATCACGAAAAGTATTTCAAGCACCGGTGGCAGCCGTATCCTGCAAACCACGCCGCCTAGTTAGCTCGCAATGTCACACTTGCAACAACGGCGGGTCGAACAAGCGGCGTTGCGGGCACAACAGCGTCAACGTGATGATTGCGGGAGCGCATTCGCCAGGACTAACACTCGATTTCGGCAAAAGATTCTCCAGCGACAGCGTCGGGCTGAACCCACTGCTAAACACCGAGGCCACACGTTGCAGCTCTTGCTGGGTAACCATTTGTACGGAGTGGTTGGGTGGGCCAGTTTTTTTTTTATTAGCTTCACTCAACATGAGTTGTACTAGCACAAAATTTAGCACTGTTTTCCTACGTCAAAATAGAACAGAGCCGCACTGGGAATCTAACTCGTGAATCGGTGCTGATTCGGGCGACACCCTAATTATCTTGGTGTTTTTTTAAAAGCCATTTAAAGCTAGCTTGGGTATATATAGCTAAAAATGTTCCGATATTTTTTCTCATTCATTTCTATCATTAATTCCCACTACCCCTTTTTGGTTGTCTCTGCATTTCATACCAAAATCCCTATAATATGAATGAATCAACCACTCTTACCGTACGGATGTTAGTTACCACGGAAAAACATGAGAAATATTAGCATATTTCTTGCAGGAGTACCTGCTCGACGTCCTCATATCATTGGAAGCGCCCTTAGAGAAGCTGGTGCTCGGCGTTCCTTTCTACGCTCGGTCGTACACACTGGAGAACCCTCGTCTGAACTACATCGGGGCACCCGCCACAGGAAAAGGCTATCCCGGTCCGGTCACGGCTACGCCTGGGGTGCTTGCCTACTACGAGGTAAGAAGGAAATAACATTATTAGGAGGTAACTAATAACGAAAAAAAAATTGGGGGACCCTTAAGCTTCGTCTTCAGGAGTTGAACGCGATAGTGATATCCTGTCCCTAGTGCGTAGTTCTAACGCTTACGTGAAATATTTTTCGAACTTGCTGCACCCGCTACGTGGCCTTAAAGGAACAGGCGCAGTGACGTGTGTTTCTTTGCAGTGAATGAGCGGCTTTTAAAACGTGAAGTTATTTTCATTATCACATGTTATGACGCCCGTTGGCGAATTACGCTTGTACCATGCATTATTACGGCGATATAACACGTTGTATTGGGAATAATGTATACAGGACGCACGTGTTTGCAAAGCATGAAAGTTAGTTCCACTGCACTTCCAAGCAGAGAAAGGCATTTTCACTGTATTCCCAAGCATACGCGAGGCTGTTTGGTAGAACTACCGCACGGACCCCGAATATTTTTTATTATTATTTTATTTGCATTTTTCTCGCCTTTTCGGTCAAGCACAGGATGACTTCTCGCTCACAACCAATGACACCGATGTCATAATTGTTGCAAAACAAGCTGTTTAACGCATTCGCGTTAATAATTGCTGTGGTTCGATGTGCCGAAACTACACGGTATGATTATAAGCCACGATGTGCCGAAACTACACGGTATGATTATAAGCCACGATGTGCCGAAACTACACGGTATGATTATAAGCCACACCTTGAGCGTTGGCCTCAGATTCTTTTTCATAACCTGGGGTTATGTGACGCGCAATTTTCATCTTAGTATACTGGTTTCCATTGCATTTTACTCCCATGAAATGCGGCCGCGACCGGGAATCAAACCCGCGCCCTTGAACTAAACAGCGCAACATCCGATACCTACCTGCCTGCTAAGCAGTGTTGCCAGATGCTACCGAGCAAACAAGTGAATACTCATCACAAAAGAAGCGGAACCATAATGAATATTCCCATAGTTGAAACGATTTTTAATTGTGATTAAAAGATGTCACTGAAATACGAAGGACAGTTTAAAAAATCGTCTAATTCTTTTGTACAGCGAAGATTTGCGCAGCTATAAACGAAAGCACATAGCGATTTTTAACACTGTTTGCGGGGTAGTCTCCATTCAGCTGAAGGCACTTTTGCCAGTGCATGGTTAACGTTACTTGTCCATTCCCCCAACATATGCCTGTCTTAATTCACTCAACCATAGAACATTTGTTCAAGAAAATTTTTCAAAATATTTGTTTCACCCCTGCAAGCGTAGTGACATAAGTCGGGAAGCTTATGAAGATTACGTTTGTATCCGCAATTTCGTAACATACCATGCTTAATTTTGTTCAGCAAGCGATGTGTACAGAACTTACTACACGAGAGCCCGCACCATGTAGGGCAGCGGTCAAAAGCGAGCCCTCAAAGGCCACTGGTCAACAATTACGGATCGCTGACCACAACGCTGAAACATTAAGTGTAGAAAAAGCTGGGGAGGCATGACAGCTAACCAGCGTTATAATGACTAATACAAGTGGACATTCAATTTATTTTATGTTAGGTGACCTCACCAGACTATCGCAATACGAGTACAAGGCTCATCTTACGAAAGGGAGCCTATAGAGTATCTTACAACGAAGTTTTCTTCTCGCGACTATGTGCGGACGTCGGCGCCTATACTGTCTGCGCGTGCGTTTCCTTGCTTCATCATGGGCCATTTTCCAGCAGCGATCCTAAAAAGTAATGATAAGTACTTCAAAAATGATTGATTGATATGTGGGGTTTAACGTCGCAAAACCACCATATGATTGTGAGAGACGCCGTGGCGGAGGCCTCTTTAAATTTCGACCACCTGGTGTTCTTTAAACGGACACTAAAGTCAAATAACAATTTACGTCAGAGTGAAAGCTCAATGTATGACAACATCTAAAACGACAATATTATCAACAGCAGTGCCCTACTTACCGAGAAATTAAGGTAAATGCACAAGAACACAAGCGCCGCAGTAGGACATTTTCAAAATGATCCCGATGACATCAGACGGACCGCCCACAATTAATCACTAGTAATTGATCTAACTGCACTAAATAAAGAACCGTCCGTGCATCAAGAGACGCAATAAAATGCTGCTTTTTTTCTGTTTGATTCATGAAAAAAAAAAGAACCGCCGGACGTTACTATGGGGAATGGCGCGAGTGGTTTAAAAATTCAGTTTTGGAGTGGTTACACGGGACAGGTGGTGTCATCTAGCGGGGCGCAGTTGAAATCAATGGTCGTTGTTGGTGCTGTGGCTCCAGCTGCTTTCGGTTTGCTACTACTAGCTCAGTAAAGCCGGGCAACCTTGTGCACGGCAACAGTGACGTGAGTTTGTCCGGTCCATGGAGGAAGGAAAAATCTTTCCTTCCTCCGTGGTGCGGTCGGTCCTCTTCTTGGGGCGGGTAGTTTATAGTGTGCTAACCCGATGCGGACCACTAAAACATGATTTTTTTTCAAAATAGACCCTTCCTTGGCCCAAAAGTAACACTCGGAGATTTCTGGACCGCTACTTCAACAATTAACGTCGACTTAGTTGTTGCCTTTAGTGTCCCTTCATCGTACACCTATATCTAAGCACACAGGCCTACAGCATTTTTATCTCCATCAAAAATGCAACCACCGCAGCCGGGATTCGACCCCGCGACCTGTGGGTCAGCAGTCGAGTACCTTAGCCACTAGACCACCGCGTCGGGGCCTTCAGAAACCATAGAGCGTTAGACGTTAAAGAGACAACACGAAGACGGGACAAGCACTTAACTCAACTAAGACTTTATGTTTGCAGATCCCGAGTATATATATAAACACGCTTTCGTAACCTATAGAAGACCCAACAACTGAGGCTAAGGAAACAAGACAATTTTGAATAACGCGTTCGATGCTTTAACCACTGAGCTACCACAGCGGCCTAACAAGACAATTTGACAGCTGTCAACTTAATAATAAAAAAAAATATTAGTTTGTTCCTATTGCAGTTTGAAATGAGTGTTTATATATGTGTAGTAAAGTACACGTTTGCCCTGTCTCCGTATTATCTCGTGTTCGTCTAGTGCACTATGGTTTTCGAAGTATACGATGACCTACCAAACCACGCACAAACTTATTTCTGAATAAAGACAGGCTTTGGTCGTGAAACACTTTCCCGTTATGCTGGAGTTACGGATCGAATTTCGAAATTCCTCACGCAGATATGCAGCGCCATCAAGGCGGGCGGCTGGACAACAATGATGGACAAGAGAGCGGGCGTGTACGCCTACTCGGGCGACCAGTGGGTCTGCTTCGACGGGCCCCGGTCGCTGACGCGCAAGGCGCGGTTCGCCCTGAGAATGGGGCTCGCCGGACTTATAGCCTCCGACGTCAGCATGGACGACTTCAGGGGAGAGTGTGGTCGCAAGAGTCCCCTGCTCAACGCCGTCCACAGAGCCTTATATCCTGAAAAAGCGACGGCCCTGGCGAAGGGATGACCAAAGTGGCATTGACACCTGTGAACACCCGTCTACTGAAAACGGGAGGCAAGAGTGTGACGTGTTCGACGCGCGGAGCCATGCAGCAAACGCAGCTGTTCCACGCAAGAATCGACATTGACACCACATCGCCGAACTCCATTCACGAATCGTGTGCATGTGGCCCGCTCGGCACCTGGCGTACTTGCGTGGTATGCCGATCCGGCCGCGTCGACATAGTGACCCTCAGCGTTTTTCCGCGTTAGTTCGGTAAGGTGCTGCAGTCGCTACACAAGCTGTGAAACGTATAAATTATGCTGTCGAGAATCGTACCGTTTTCTTTGTGCTCCTTTCTTATCGGCGTTACTAGTATCTGAGGTCTTATGTGCCAAAATCACGATGAAGCTTGTTTTGAGGCATGCCGTACAGTGGAGAACGCCGAAAATTTTCGCCATCCGGTGGTCATTGAAGTGGCCATGGCACCCAATTTGATTCCACAATCTTTGTAGAAGTTTACTTTTGCGCGTTTACAAACAAGCTGATATAATTTCGGTGCATTTCGACGAACACTCCATTCATTATTGAATATTGTTATAATAACGTGAGTGGTCTGAGAGCCGAGCAACACTGAAGCACTCGGGACCGATTGTGTTTTTATTTTTGCGCTTTACCTACCATATTTTAATACTATACTGCGCTCTATAACTAACCGCCACACTGGTACGAGAGTAAGTGGTAGACAGAATCGACGTAGAGAAATTCTTAATCGAGCCCACAACTAAGCTGTATTGCCCTAAAACACCGTTAGAAAATATTATGAAATGGCCTGCCAAACATGCAGCATTCTACACGAAATTCCCACGTCAAGTGAAAAAAAAAATAATGTTTTTCACCCTCTGAGAAAAATATGATGCTGCAGACGACAAACAATAGTGCCACTTTAACGTAACATAACACGTAGTAGCAAATTATGAACGACAGAAACACAAGCAGATATGTACAGTATGTACTCACGGATTAAAATAGGACACTACAGAACGCGTGGCTGCCGCTACAGGCAGCGCAGCTCCTGGGTGCTCATGTGTAGCCAAGGTGCTGCACTGTGGTATAGAGTGAGGGGCGAGAACACTCACGGATAGGGATTGCCACTTCCGGTCACCGACGAGTCGAACTGTAGTTTTACAATGTGCACTCGCCCACCGTAGCGCTGCTATTGGCTGGCGTCGTGCTTTCGCATGCCGACCGAAATGGCTGAGCGGTGCCGACTATACTAATCACGCGGCGCGATTAGACGACTCTATCGTTCTGCGCATTTCTATAACGCGACACGCATGCTCTGTAATAAGTAATTGTGATCACGAGTCTTCTTAGACACGATAACGCCAGCACAAAGTCACAGAAAGTTTATTTCGTGATTTTTGACAAAACAACAACAACGAAAAAAGAGAAGCACTCACAGACCTGCCTTCTTGCGACATAAAAACAATGTCTTGTAATTTCGTTGCTTCGCACTGAGTAGCGAATTCCGCCGTCATTTTGGGTGTCAAACTTCCGTAGAGGCTATATCGGCCGATAAAGAATGTGCAAGCTTCTGTCATCCTTCCTCGACGGCAGCCAACAGGGTGTCGGACACCAATTCTAATACACCGTATCAACGTCGCACGAAGACGGGCCTGTGACTGCATTCTTTTTTTTTTTTTTGTAGTCACAGAAAGCACGAAATAAACTTACTACGCTTTTTGTGCAGATGTTTGTGTTTATCATGTCTGCGAACGGACGTAACGCTCGATCGTTTAGTCGAATCACGTTTCTTATACTTGCAGAGTATTTGTGCATGTTGTATCCTACATAACAGCGCCACGCTGGCAGCGTTCAATTGGTAAACTACAGGCCGACTCGCTATAGTGACCGGAAGTGGCAATCCTGATCCGTAGATGTTCTCCCCCTCACAATACCACACAATGCAATACCTTGCTTCCACAAGCTGCGTTAACTGTCCCTGCGGCCACGAGTCTGCTATTTCAATCCGAGTCTGCTATTTCAATCCGTGAGTACTGTACGAAGCAAATCACATTACCATAAGGTTTCCACGCTCTAACATGGTTCGCCAGTGACCGGAAGTGGCAATCCTGATAGATGTTCTCCCCCTCACAATACCACAAAATGCAACACCTTGCTTCCACCACAAGCTAAGCTACCTGTACCTGTAGCCACGCGTTCCGAGTTTCCTATTTCAATCCGTGAGTCTGTACGAAGCAAATTACATTACCATAAATTTACCGCGTTCTGACGTGGTTCCAGGAGGCGTGCTCGTTCGTAACTATTGAATGCGTCTCTAGACGATGTTGCTGAGCCAGTTGAGGGTTGCGCCAACTTGTTCGGCGCAATCGCGCTAAGGAGAGCCAGCCCATACACGAGTCTATAGCCGCACACCCCACAAAAGACTAAATCCAAAAAGCGAAAGCAAAACCTATTGCCATCAAGAGGTGGCCCGCAACCAACAAAAGCAGAAAGCTTTGTTGGACGAGTTGGAGTGCTAACGCGCTCGGAATGAGCTACCCCGCGGCCGCGCGGGTGGGTTGCGCAGTTGCACCGACCGTGACATCTTTTCGAGTTATTGGGAGAGGGTTAGGCTGTTCCTGCAACTACGCATTTCGCTTTCAAGCTCGCCCGGATTTTGTGCTGCATGATTGATTGATTTGTGGAGTTTAACGTCCCAAAACCACCATTTGATTATGAGAGACGCCGTAGTGGAGGGCTCCGGAAATTTTGACCACCTGGGGTTCTTTAAAGTGCACCCAAATCTGAGTACACGGGCCTACAACATTTCCGCCTCCATCGGAAATGCAGCCGCCGCAGCCGGGAATCGAACCCGCAACCTGCGGGTCAGCAGCCGAGTACCTTAGCCACTAGACCACCGCGGCGGGGTGGATTTTGTGCTGCAGTAATATCTGCTCGTAAAATGAAAACTTCAACGGCGAAAGCTAGCAAGTCAGGGCGATGTGAATTCGCAGCTTACCAAACTCTCCCCCAAGGGCTTTCTGTGGCAATGAAGGGAAGGCTACGAAGCCAAAGTGGGCGTGTGCCGCCACTGTATAGAATATAGTGCCACAAATGCACCCTTGTTTTCTACGTGAAATTAATAAAAAAAGAACAAGACTATTTTCTACCAGATGCTGGTTATAAAGAGACGTACGCTGCACGCACCGAGGAGATATTCATATTTGTTGCTGCGTTTTTGCGCGTCTGAAAACGTCCCGCGTTTTACGTTCACGTCACCGTCGAAACGGCGTCATCGTCTTTGGGTGAACGCGCGTCACCATCCAGCTATTGCGACGACTCGCCGAAGGAGCTGGTGTCGAGTTTCAATCGCAAACGGCTGTGCAAGCAGACGCGTCAAACTGTGGGCAACGCTATAGATCACTTGAGCACGGCCGTCATTCGCTCGAAACGCGAGCCGAACCGCACTATACTTCGCGGAGAAGTACAGGTGCAGTAGCTCCGCCTCCGTCGCTTTCGCCTTCATTGCCACAGAAAGTTTATTTATTTATTTATTTTTCAAATACTGTTAGCCTTTCGGCTGTTACAGGGGTGGGACATACTAAGAATGTCATACATCAATACATTCAAATCATAGAGCAATTCAAACAGCAACACTTGTACTTGGAATTGTTACTTGACATACATAGAAAACACCGGCTTTGAGGCTGAAGGAAAAACAGTACAGTCGTAGTAGGCATACAAATAAATTGTAATAAATTAACATAGTAGACCATGCTTACACAAAAATATCTTTGAGCCCTTCCTCAAATTCTTCTAATGAATCACAATGAAACAGTGGTAATGGCAAAGCATTCCACTGACGAATTGTTTTTGGAAAAAATGAATTCGCATATACATTGACACGCTGTTGTGGCACTTCGTATGTGTAATCATTTACATTTCTCAGGTTTCTTCCGCGGCGTGGCGTTAAGTATTTTGTTGTGTTCATGTTTAATTTATTTTTTGACAATAAAAACAAGAACTTCAGCCTTGCCAATTGCCGTCGTTCAGCTAAAGTGGGCAGTTGAAGAGAGCGTAGCATTTCTGTTACTGACTCAGTCGAGGAGTACTTTGAAAGAATAAACCTGGCAGCCGGTTGTCGCCGTTCCAAAAGTTGTCGCCGTTCCCAGTACAAATACAACACCGACCGAGGAACCTCAGAAATGGGACGCCAACGACTGTGCGCCTGATCTCGCTGTTGGCTTTCATGAAGGCGGCAGGGTGGGGAGTGAGTGGGGAGAGCACCTGCTGCGTACGGTGGCGGGAACGGCAAAGGGCCGTTCCGCGCGCTTTCCGCACAGCCGCAACGCACGTGCTGGGACCCCTGCCGCACGCAAGCAGGGTATAAATAAGCCAATTGGCGACGCTGTGGAGGGTGAAAGAGCGTCGCCAATTGGCTTATTCGTCCCTCCGCTTGCGTGCGGTAGGAGTCCCGGCACGTGCGTTGCGGCTGTGCGGGAAGCGCGTGGAGCGGCCCTAAACGAGTGAGTGCAGCGCACGTGGCGCTGCGCGAGCCATAAGCGGCCGCGCATGCGCTCTCACTGCGCCAGGAGCGCGCACCTGTTGTTTTGCTCGGTGCGCTTGTCGGCTGCAGGAAAAGAGCTTGGATGTGGACGGCAGTTTGCGGGCCTGAGGAGCTTCGCTCCTAATATTTCTAAAATATGCTGTTATCGGTGCCACTGAACAACCTTGCAGTGTGCTCGGCCACGCACTCGCGTGGCGTAGCTCGCGTGCGATTGTACGTTCAATAACTGCTTCTCTGTGCAAAAGAACGAAATTAAAGGGAAAAAAATGCTCTATCAAATGTCCGTTCTTATGGTTAATTGTGTTCTTTCCCGCCTTCAAAACAATTATTAACAAAACATGCACGCCAATGGCTGGGTATTGCGGCAAGCGGCGGTACAAGGCTAGCTTTTACTGCCAAGTTCACCGCGCATGGTGTTTTTTTATTTTTTTTTTGCCGCCTAAAAGAGTCGGTTATTCTTCGTTATCTCGGGTTATTTTGTACCAGCCAAATGATTGGGCAAGACGGCACGAGAAACACGCGAAAGTAGAATGCGCTTTCTCATGTTTTCTTTTCTGGATCTGTTGTGTTGAATCACTTTAACATGTAGCGCGTAACGTCGCCTACGCTTACATCACATCTTCGGAAACCAACCTGTTAACTCCTGTCTGCAAATGTGTACGCTTTCTACGCGCGCTTTGGTTTCGGTTTCACCAGAGAACTTGATAATATTTCACGTAATAACCTTCAAAAGCAGCTTTTTTCACAATACTAGAGCGATTCTCATGCAAGAATGATTTCCATTCTGCCAAGTGATCCCACCTTTTGTCTTCTCTAATTAAAATGTTAAATATCAACTTACTAAATCACTGCCGGCATTGCCTCCTTCCGTTTGCGTAATACATGGTTGCCACTGAAAAACAATTATGAAGAAAGCAAAGAAACAATGCGTTCCTCGACTTCCGATACATTTCACGAAATTCATTGTGGGCGTATATACAAATAATCTCACAATCACCGTCTGCACAAGACTACGTACTCTATAATCGACAAAAAAGACAAAACGATCAAGTGCTTCTCACAGTGGTCTGTATTTCATACTCTGGTTTTACGGCGACAAACATGAGAAGTAAACAGTTCCTGGAATGCGACATCAGGTGCCTATCGGCCGCCATAATCGTCAGAATCCTGCATAGGCGTAACACTGTCTTTTAAACAATGCGGAGACAGATCCGACTGACTAACAATAGGGAGCACGCTTCACATATGCTCTCTCTTGGGTGATCGGGTGAGGGCGGTCGGCCCTTTGCACTCACTTAAGCATATAGAGTTTTCCTACAATGTTTACTCGAGGGAACTCTGGCGCTGCGATCATTCGGCCATCACGGGAATGGAGGGTAGCACACGGATTTGCCTAGTCTTCGTGCTTGCGGATTCGAACGCAGTTGGGGTTTTTGTGTATTGCTGTGCATTGGCGCTTGTTTCGGACAAAAAAAAATGGACAGTTGTGATGAACTTCGTGAGCCGATTCGAATTAGTCAGTCCAAAATGGTCAAGGTGGCGAAGCTGAAAGTTTGCTGTACTACGCTTTGCGACAAAGCGGCCATAGGTCATCATCACCATCATCATAAGTACGTCCACTGCAGGACAAAGGCCTCTCCCATGTTCCGACAGTTAATTCGGTCCTGTGCTTGCTGCTGCCAATTTATACCTGCGAACTTCTTAATCTCATCTGTCCACCTAACCTGCTGTCTCCTCCTAACCCGCTTGCCTTCTCTGGGCTTAATGACAAGCGGTCATCCTGTCTACGTGCTACATACCCGGACCATAGGTCATAGGTCACACGGAGACAAACGGAGCCGAAATAACGAAGGTCAGACAAATCTGCGTACGACCAATTACTCCCATGCTGGCTGAAGCGCCAAGCGTTGTATCTTCCATAGACACTAGCGGCGGAGTTCCCTCTAGTGGACTTAATCGAAACTCCGTGACTTGTGCCTCAGCGTTGTTCCTTGTCACACTCTCTCGCGCACTCAAAGCCGAACCGAACAATTGCTGTGCTGCAGCGCCGAAGTGTCGATGCCTGCAGCTCGTGCCATTGCGCCAAAAATGGAGCTGGGATTCGCGGCGAGCTCCGCTGCGGTGCCGAATTCGGCGACGCGTCCTTCACTCATCACCAGGATCCTGCACAGAAACAAGCCGGTAAAGACGAGCAAACATTGTGACCATTGTGACTAAAATTCGGCCAAATTTGACGAAAATTCGACCATATAATTTGGTTTATGTCGCTTAATCCAACAGCACGCACAAACAAGCTGGCGAGATTTCAGGTCATTTTGTAGATCGCTTAATGCATAATTGAATGTTTTGCAAACACAAAAGTGGCGAGCTGTGGTCACGTGACATGAAATAGTCTACATCTATAGAACTACAGAAGTACGTTCAGATGTCCAGAGCCAACTTGTTGACGAAGACCGAGTTCACGTACAGTTGGTTGCGAGTTGGTTGAAGACGTGTGCTTTGCGTTTCACTTGGTACCGAAGCTGTTTTCAGGTGGCACTTTTTGGCCAGAATACCTGTCGATTTCGCTGCGACTACCTTCCAATAGTGATTTCTACGATAAGGCTTCCAGCACTTCTTCATCATCCTCAGCAGCAGCTGCTGCTGCAGCAGCAGCAGCCTGATTACAACCCCTGCATGCAGGGCAAAGTTTACACCAATCAAGATGGCAGTGTGCTTGCTGCTGCCACGTTAAAACCGCAAACTATACCTTATCTTCAGCACTCAGAAAGGGGGGGGGGGGGGAAAGGAAGGACAAAAATCACGTTCGATAATCATCACGATCAAAGTTTGAGTCCAAGTATGGTGCACTGCGTTCTCGGCCTCACCTGTCGCAGTGCAGCACCGTGTTCAAACGGTGTGCGATCGTGAGCACGGTGCAGTGGGAAAAGCCCTGTTGCAGTGTTTTCTGCACCAGCCTGTCCGTGTCGCCATCCATGCGCGACGTGGCCTCGTCCAGCAGAAGGACGCGTGGCCGCCGAAGAAGGGCCCTTGCCAGGCACAACAATTGCCGCTGACCAGCGCTGCGTCGCACCATTCGATCAGTCGATTGCGCAGACACTCGAGCATTGATTGATTGATTGATTGATTGATTGATTGATTGATTGATTGATTTATTTATTGGGGGAATCACCCCTTCTGGTTCGCCCTCAAGTTCCATCTCAACCAAAATTTATATCAAAGGAAAGCAACTTTAGGCAAATAGCATACGCAGATGGGTTAATCAGTAAACGGAAAGTTTACTTATAGACAGTGAAAAAAAAAAGAGGTTCATTGAAAGGCAGGGAGCTAACCAGAAGAAAATCAGCCGGTTTGCTACCCTGTACTGAGATATGGTTAAGGAGGGACAAGAAAGTGGGAAAAAAGAACTAGATTAAAAGTAAAAAAAATCATAAAAGACACAGACACACACACACAAAAAAAAGACGGGACCGAAAGTTCAGCAGCGTCTTCGGACTCTACGCGGAAGCTGGAGCGTTCCGGCGCTCAATAATTGATTGCTTGGAAGGTGGCTGGTATTTTGCACAGTTCAACCTCATCCTAAATATTTTTTTCGAAACGTTACATCTCCTGCAGATCTACCCATTGACTGTCAGCGACGCATTACCGGAAGGACGCCACCTATGGTTATACGCAACCAACGTGGTCAACTTTGACGAGTGGTCGCAATAAATCTGAAAAAAAAAGCAGCTTACCTGTATTACATTTCCAGAAAGTTTTCAGAACTGTTTTGCACAAAATGTTAATACTTAAGCTAAACTACTGCAGCCACCCTTCTCTTGCAATAATCAGCACTTATTGCGACATTTAACCACGTCCAATCCGCTTTTATAATTGATCACTGCTCCCGTCATTAGCCGACTACTTTCGGGGGGCCATAAAGTATAGCCAGGAGTGGGTTCGAGCTATAGCTGGTGGTCCAGGATCAACTATGTATTGCGCAAAATTTGTCGGACGCAGGACGAGGAATTCTGAAGCTAAACGCCATTAGACCCGACATTGTCGCTTCGTAACTAAGCGACATTACACCGGAAAGATACGGTCCTTTCAATGTACCTGAGGTTTTCAGCTCCGTCCTCTATCTCAAGCAAGAGTCCCAGCGGATTCTTGGCGACGAAGTCGGTCATGTGCGCTTTCGCCAGTGCCTCCCAGATCTCGTGGTCCGAGTGACTCTGCGTGGCGTCCAGGTTGTCCCTCAGACTTCCTTTCATCAAGTACGGCTCCTGCAGAGGAAAAAAAGCTTGCAACTACACAGCCACGTCATTGGCCGAACTGCGTCCACTGTGGGGGCCTCTTCAACATGTGACATCATTACAGGACACAGCCAGTGACATACTTCTCTTGTGTCGTGTGTTCTCTCGACATCAGTTATTTTGGCATTGTGCACCAACTTTAGGCTTTAAAAGAGACATTTAACAGTTTCTGGTCTTATGCTTAAAAATTACGAGATCCTATCATGGACAATGTAATCCGTGGGCCCAAACATAATTGCCAGGCCGATGTAAACACTGTAGAACTTGGCCCCTTTTACGAAACTTAATAATGAGAGTAACGAAAATAGTGCAAATATTGCAGGTAATGCAAATAATGCCAAAATGATTGTTTCAGACATTCATTCTTTCCGAGGACTGTGACTGGATAGACTAACCTGACTTAACACCCAAGTTACTCAACCTTTTTTGTCCTCATTCGCTGCAACTATATGATAATTTATTTTCAATCTGCAAAATCACATCGTTCATAATATGCATTTTTTGGCATTTTTATGTAGTTGATGTTTCATATACTACATGCTGTATTTGTATGTGCAATAGCACCAAGAACGTATTTTTTTATTAACGGATGTACTTTTTGTTTTCCTTGTACTTTTTTTTTGGAAGTAATGTACACTACTCTTCTTTGCTTTGTAGCCTGCACTTTTACCAGGATATAATATGTTTTCGCCCTGCTGAATTCTCTGTGTGGATTGCAGTATTTGTAAATAAAAAAAAATCGCAGCATATCCACGGTATGAATGATGATGAGTGGGGCGAAGCCTCCGTCAATCCGTCCGCGCTTCTGTCTGTCCGTTCGTTCTTGCTTCCGTCAGTCCGTGTGTCCGTCCGTGTGTGCATTCATCCACCCGTGCGTCCGTCCATGCGTCCGTCCATGCGTCCGTCCGTGCGTCAAACAGACGACAAACAGACACGGTCACCGGATGATTCACGGCTTGCCGATAAAACCCTCCGAAGCTTCGCCCCACTCATTCACTCCACGAATATGTCGTGAAGTGGTTACTACAAACATGCACATATACATACAGGTGACGACCGACCCACGCCTTAATAAGGAGCTTCGCCCCTAAAAATAAAACAAACCTAATTACAGCCCAGGCGGACTCCAAGCCGACCGTTAGATCAGCATAACTTCTAACGGCAACTTCTCTGAGATGGCGGGCAGCGCTTACCTGTGGGATGACCGTGATGACGGAGCGCAGCTCCCGAAGGGGAACCGAGGAGATGTCGACGCCGTCGATGACAATGCGTCCTTCCGAAGGCTTCAGCACTCGAAGAAGGGCCAGAATGAGTGACGACTTTCCCGCTCCGGTGCGGCCCACCACACCTACCTACGATTTTAAAAGACGCAAATCGACGATCCCCGCGAATTCAAGACAACGTGTTCTCATCGCTTTAGGGATACTTGGAAAGAGTGTAACAAATACCATCTGATTCACCCTCTGCACTAATGACTGCAAATGACTTTCAGCCACTTGCTTCGCGCAGACTCAAACAACGGCTTGATTTCCTTTTCTTGTTACTTAACAATAAACTCGCCATTGATCCATCACCGTATCTATCTTTCCTATCAACTAGGCAGACCCGACATCACCATCCCAATTTGCTTACCCCATATTTCGCGAGAACTGATGTCTTTATGTATTCTTTCTTTCCACGGACAGTGTCTGATCGGAACAAATTATGTGATCCCCATTCATTGTGAATTAAGTAGAGTGAATTGCATTATGTATGGTGCATGTTATTCCTGTTTTTTTTGTATGTGATGTGCACTTCCTGCTTAGACCATTTATGGTTCGCAGTATGTACTAAATAAATAAATAAATAAATAAATAAATAAAATAAATAAAGAAATAGAAGGCTATCGGTCACACGCACATCAGATGATGAATGTGAGAGCCCAAATATCAACACATATCCACGAAATGAATGCCGAGGGCTGAGCAGTGTGCATTGCATTTTAAATTGTGGCTCTCTATTTCGTTTTGGTTAACCTTTTGTGTTGTCACATGCTTTGATTGATGGATGTTTAACTGTCGGTATTTTTCCAGTGTTGCGACCTTTTATATTCTTTGGTCTGGTTAACAGCCTTTTGACAGCTGTTTTGTTGGTCGCAGATGTTTCGGTTTCTACACCTACCGTAGACGTACGGTAGCGCTTTATGGATGCAGGGACATTGTGCGGTTTAAAGTGATTCGTTCATAAAAGTTGCCAAGCGACTTTCACGTTAATCCAGATCCGGTTGTGCCCGGTTATGTTCCCAACACATCTACTTTCTCTACAGATCGAAAATTTTTTTTCTACCTCTGATATTTTATAGAGCAACAGTGTTCATCTTTCTCTCACAGCACGGTGTCAGGCAAACCCACTACTGCTACAAAATTGCCTGAAAACGCGTCGCGCTTTTTACCGGTATCAGTAGTGAATAATGCGAACAGAATCTCGCGTTGTTGAAGGTAAAGTATGTCCCGCCCACATTTCAAGATTACTATGCTAATCTAACTTAGGTAAATTAGGTTCAATGTAAGCTGCAGATGATGCGCTTGGCTAACTTTTTTACTCGATTTGCATGATTCAAGAAAAGCTACATAGAAGTACAGCCACCCGAATTGTGCACACGTAGCAGCGTCGACTTTTTGGTCTTTCAGCGCCATATAATGGAGTTCTAAGCTGCAAAACATTGTTGTGTGGGCATGTGCTTTGTGGGCGTGCACTTGTACTCGCTCTTTGTAGAACTTATTTCAGTTATATGGCAAATATTCAAGCAAGGAACTGCCACTTGTGCACGATAGCTGAAAAGTTGAGCGACTGTACTTATTCGAGCCCATGTTGGCTGAATAGTGCAGCCGGAATATGCCAACATTCAAATTATTCACTCAAAGCCTCGTAGATGCATCATGATGCTTGGTTAACGCTAGCTCGATTTACAGCCTCGAATATTTTACAGGAGGGGCCAAAAATCGAAGTTGTGGGAAAATGTGCTAGATGTAAACCAACTCTTACACCCGTATTCTAGAACGTCCCTTCAACTCAACGCTTCACCTTCACTTGAGGAAGCCGATGGGAGCGCCATCTCCAAGAACGGCAAGTCACTGCATATCAGGGATAATCTGCTGCGATTCTTGAGTAGCGCAGCGACATTTTCAGCCTAGCAGTGGCGCACTGCTCAACTGTGTTGAGTGAAGGGTGAAAGTCAAGTCGAGTAGCCTTTGTGAATAAGGGGGGTCACTTATAATTTAAAAAAATTACAAAGAAGCTATATACTAGATCACCATAGCAGACAAATCAGATACATAAATTTACTGAGTGCATGAAGTTGTCATAATGTTCGCAAAAGCTCTGCGACAGCCCCATCTGAAATTAGTTGCATATTTCGGAATGATGCTTGTGCTCTAATCGTGTCTGCTCTGCTGGCATGGCCCTACAGATGCAGTTTATTATAATTATAATTATAATTATTATTATTGTTGTTGTTGTTGTTGTTGTTATTGTTGTTGTTATTGTTGTTGTTATTGTTGTTGTTACTGTTATTGTTACTGTTATTGTTACTGTTATTGTTACTGTTACTGTTGTTATTGTTATTGTTGTTGTTGTTGACATAGTTATTGATGTTGTTGCTGTTGTAGAGACTCGCAAGTTTTGTTTTTCGACATATTGCGTCTGCGAGATATCTTTTTAAAATCGACTGCATAGGAAGTATACTTCTTACATACTTTAGTACTCGTTTTTTGTTTAAATGCAACAAATCTCGTCAAAAAGTACTGAAATTAAGCCTCGAGAAATCGGCTTATTTTCAAGTGCTTACATAGCAGCCTCCTAGATATCGTCGGGAAGCAGTGCGTCATTTCTGCGTACATCAGAACAATGCCGTTTCGTCAAATAGACGTTGGCCTCAAAGCAAACTTCGCGTATATAAACGGAGGCGCGCCAGGCGTAGCCTCATACAGATCCATCTGTAATTAACACGGTGGACCAAACGGCGATTCGAACCTGCGGGTCACGTACCACGTCACAATACGTCAGCCGTTCCCACTTCGGTTCACTCGGACCGATTCGTGAAACGACGGAAGCGCAAATCCCTGTTGGGATTCCTCGGGAAGCAATGCCGAAATCCTCGCTTGTAGCGAGAATTCTCCCCTGTTGTGCGAATGTTGGCTGCTCAGGGATCCGAATGACGTCACAAGTCACGTGACTGATCCGTCCGCGATCACGCCCGTCGTGTGAATCAACATCATCATCATCATCAGCAGCAGCAGCCTGACTACGTCCACTGCAGGACAAAGGCCTCTCCCATGTTCGGCCAGTTAACCCGGTCCTGTGCTTGCTGCTGCCAATTTATACCCGCTAACTTCTTAATCTCATCTGCCCACCTAACCTTCTGTCTCCCTCCTAACCCGCTTGCCTTCTCTGGGAATCCAGTTAGTTACCCTTAATGACCAGCGGTTATCCTGTCGACGCACTACATGCCCGGCCCATGTCCATTTCCTCTTCTTGATTTCAACCATGATATCCTTAACCCTCGTTTGTTCACTAATCCACTCTGCCCTCTTCTTGTCTCTTAAGGTTACAGATACCATTTTTCGTTTCATTGCTCGCTGCGTCGTCCTCATTTTAAGCTGAACCTTCTTTGTAAGTCTACATGTTTCTGCTCCGTAGCTAAGTACCGGCAAGATACAGCTGTTATATACCTTCCTCTTGAGGAATAGTGGCAACCTATCTGTCATAATTTGAGAGTGCTTGCCAAATGTGCTCCACCCCATTCTTATTCTTCTAGTTGCTTCAATCTCGTGGTTCGGCTCCGCTGTTATTACCTGCTCTAAGTAGACACGACGAGTTTGAAGCCTTGTAAATACAGATTTGCTAACATCCATGTATAGACGTCAGACCAATATAGTAGTTTAGACAGAACACCTTACCCTCTCGTGGGCTTCAATGACAAAACTCAGGTTCTTCAAGACGGGTGGAAAGACGCCGGGATTGTAAGAAGCGGTGAAGTTGTCGAACACTATCCTTCCTTGGTCTGGCCACGAGGTAAGCGCGGTGCTTGTGACCTTGGGTCGCACATCATGAGGATCGCAGCCGTCCTAAAACATAATAAACCGAAGTGAACACAAATATTAGTTTTCGAGGAGGAGACAATTATTATCGTTATTCTGTACGACTCCGAGGAAATATTACGCACGCATCTCACATAGACGACGAAAAGGAAGGGAACAAGATAAACGACAGCATAGGGACAGAATAAAGGATAAGGAACAGGATAGGGCATTTACGGCCTATCCTGCCCCTTCCTTTATTTTTTATTTTTTTTGTCTATGTGAGTTGCGCCCTTCATATTTCTTCAGAATGAACAAACTAGCCCCAACAACGCGTTCTAGTGAGCGCTATGATTCTACTTCCCATGAAAATCGGTAGCTTAAAGCAAAAATAATTGTGCCAAATTCAAGAGATGAAATTTTAGCAATGAGACCCAAAGTTACTACAATTGGTCACAGATTACCTCAACGTATGAAAATCATCTTTGAGTCTTCGTCTAATTCATAGACATCCGTGCCAAATATTCTCGGACAATGCTGCCACTGTTTTTAGATATTTCGATTCCGACATCTCCAGCTGGAAACAATCCGTACGTGGAAGAACATATCTTACCTCGGGTTGTAGCCTGGTGTATTCCACTGCGCGTTCGAAAGCGATAGAGGACATCAGGCAAAAGAAAAATGAAGCATTGATGGCCGACAGCAGCATTGGAATCTAGTCACGTAATGAAGAAAAAAGAAGAGGTAATACATCTACAATTCACAAAATGCCGGTATGAATTAATTTGCTGCGCAAGCTGTCTAGAAAAACCTAGTTTTTCGAGAGCTAAAACAGCGCTTACAAAATACATAAGAACTTCTCCTGGCGTGTGTAGCTTCTCACGTTAGCTTTTATGCAGTGTTTGTTTTTCCACTAGAAAGCCATCTTGAACCAACTCTAGTGTGCCTCTGCAAAAGAGAACATTGCCAATGTGAACCGACCCTAAGTATTCTCTTTCACATTTTCTCTCTACTTGTGACATAACGCTCTGCAGCATCTGTCGTTTCTTAACCTTTAAGAACTTGATGCTAGTCGAGTTTGTACACGACACCGAGAAAATGATAGAAAAAAAATATCACCGGCGATTAGAATACAGTCAATGCTATTTCTTTGCGCAGCATCGTACTGGGGAAAGGTAAACTGCTAAGTAAGTTTTGGATTCCAGCAAGCGATCGACTACGCAACAAATCGTAATTTTTGTGAAGTAGGACAGCACCCACTAAGCCATTATTCGTCTTTTTGTGGATAAGCGAGCTACCCGCCACACAACTTATTCTGTGCAAATCGCTTGTGCTGCATGCGGCTGATGACGATCACTCGTCATCAGATGATGATGATGATGATGATGATGATGTTAATAATGATGAATCAGCTCCGCTCTAAAACCTAGACGCATATGAGCCCCCAGTTGAAAAAAAAGTACAACATCATCACAAAAAGAGCGCCTAATAGTGTCCCTGTGACATATGTCCGTCAGGGTTTTTGCCGAATTCATGCTACACCAGATTGCATTATAATACATTAAAAAACACAGCACTTGGCATATCCATTGTATGACTGCGGATTCTAGAAAAGGCAGGCCCCTTCAAGAAGCCAAACGTCGAGACATTGGCTACACGGCCATAAAAATTGAAAAATTTTACATCATGGTACGCATACTGAAAACTATCATAGTAGACTAAACCGTATAAGCCGGATATAGAATAAAGCAAGAGCACGGGGTGTATCTGCGACTCTAATTTCCCGGGGTCTTTTTATCGTTCATTGATTCTTGTTCCACACATACGAACCACTCACTTCTGAAACCTTTCATTTCACTTTTCAGTTAGCTGCTAGAACTGGCAATCATTTTTGCAACACGATTGATAAAAACACACACATAAGAGAACAAACGAGGCCAGGACAAGCGTTCGCCCAGTCCTTATCTCATGTCCTCTCTTGTGTATACGTTTTTACAATCAGTCAAATCAAGCCAAGTTTATTTCGAAGTTCATCAAGTCGGATGTCCTTAAGAGAAAAGATGTCGGAGTCATCTTGAGAGAGCTCAAAGATACCCGTTCGAGAGCAGTACAATTTTAAAAATGTCACGTGATTCACTGAACATGCATAGGCCAAAATAGGAGCTTTTTTTTCTTTTTCTATTTAGTGAACAAAATAAATCAACGGATTGTACATGGGTTACCAAAATCTCGTATGCACACGCGCAAAAATAACTATTTTTACACAAAAGGAATAAATCTAAAAAAAGATGATCACAAAAAACATATAGTGCCAATTGAGCAGTTGCCACATGTTGCACATGTTTGCATACACTTTGCACATGTTTCCTGAATTTAGATTCAGACAGTTAGCACTGCGAGAACGATTAATTGCCAAGGGAACTGCGTCCACAAGAAGCTCACCGCCATCGCCGAGCTGAGCGACAGGCCGATTCCGCTGGGCGACGACGGCGTGGTCGACCAGAGCACGACAAGCACCGACGCGAGCACGGCACAGAGACCAGCGAATCCCCCGGTGACGCGCGTGAAGCGCACGGCCCCGGCCAAGGCCCAGAAGCACCTGACGGTGCCGTCCAGGAGGCGGTAGAAGCGCCGGCACACGAGGCCCACCGCGCCGTAGCAGCGCACGCTGCTCATCGAGTCCCTGGTCTCGGTCAGGTGCTGCAGCATTCGAGACGTGCAGGCGGTGTCCAGGGAGCGAAGCGCGCTGGCAGCCCGCACAGTCACTATCTGCGCGAAGGCAAACGTGTTTCCTTTATTGAGAATCGTCAGAGAGATGGCCATCTTTAATGATATTCCCGGAAATGTAAGCCTCGTTTAAGGCCTGGCTCGCTATTCCAGTTGACACGTGATGACTATGACATGTACAATAAGCATAGATACGCACGAATAATACGCACGGTCGCAAACAACAATACAGACGCAAAAGAGTCATTCAGAAAGATTTGTTCTGTCAATTGGTCGACAGCCGCCTAACCATCACTCCCTTCGTACCAACCACAATAAGTGCATCAGACCATTCATGTCACGCTGTGACACTGTTAAATATTCATTCTTCCCGTCAGCAGTGGAAGAGTGGAACGAATTGCCACGTGAATGCGTTAATCTTTCCACTGCAGATTCATTTGTTCGGAATGTGGAAAGCCTGTTTCATGAAGACTAAAAGCAACTTTTGTTTTTTGATGTTTGTGAGCGCTTCCGAACACACTGATCACTGTACCCCCTGCTGATACCTCGATGTTTTGTGACCTGTCCATGATTTTGTACAATTCCTTTCATCGTTCAAGTTTTATTTTCACCATCATCTTGTGATTCTGTTTCTTCCGCTATGTGCGATATTGCCTGGTTTGTACGCGACTGTGTATATTTGCCCGCCCACCCTGTACGAGCCTGAGAAAGGCTTACAGTATTAAATAAATAATAAGAAGCATCTGAAAAAGTGCTTTAAAAGCAAGTGTTGATTGGTCCTCAGAAACAGCAACAGCGCTTTTTTTTTTCCTTGCATATCGAAAAAACCGCCGTCTTTCCGAGTGCCGAGAAGGTGCGCAAGTTCCATGCACAAGCCGGGCTGCGAATGACGTGCTGCTGCCTTCAGAATCTGTCGATCTGAGCAGTCACGACAAATCGCAGAGGACGTGTTTTAAGTCTCCCTGGATAATACGTGTGTTGCAGGTACGCGAGTCCAACTTCCTAATCTTGTGCCTTCAGTGTTTAGTGTAGGCAACGTCGAGTCTCGGCTTCAGATGACCTATAGCATCGCGAAGGCCTACCACCAAACGGCGTTGCTGGTGGCATCGGCGAGTCTTTCCTCCCGGTTGTCGCCGACTCTCGGCTCATCCTTACTCTTCTGGCAACGGCGCCACCCATGTTCAAGCCGACAGCCAATCGCGTTCATGCTCTCCCCTCCTCTCCACACTACCTTCTCCCCTCCAATTATGTTTGTTACACTGCTCTTGCAAAGATACACAAGTTCTAGGGCTACCAACTAGCCCTGATTTCCGCGTTGCGTAGATTTCCCTTTCCTGTCCTCCTATCAACCCAGCTTCACCCACTACAGATCGCTAACCTTTATCTACAAGAATCTATTCGTAACACTAGTCTTCCTCCCTCTCCCCCACTTGGCTTTAACTAAGCTTCGCTCCCGCAGCAGGACTAGAAAGTACGGACGACAGATCCCCGGGATTAACCTCGGTTGAAACTACTCCACAGTTAAAAGAGAGAGTGATTGATTGATTGATTTGTGGGGTTTAACGTCCCAAAACCACGATGTGGTTATGAGAGACGCCGTAGTTGAGGGCTCCAGAAATTTCGACCACGTGGGGTTCTTTAACGTGCACCCAAATCTGAGCACACGGGCCTACAACATTCCCGCCTCCATCGGAAATGCAGCCGCCGCAGCGGGGATTCGATCCTGCGACCTGCGGGTCAGCAGCCGAGTACCTTAGCCACTAGATTACCGCGGCGGGCAGAGATAAAGGTGAAGTGAACACCCACTGAAGGAAAGAGAGAGAGAGCGAAAAAAGTGAAGACTCGCCATTACGACAAGGTAGACGCCAATGGCGGCCACTCCTAGAAGGCAGGCCGTGAGAGTCTGACTTCCCACGACGGCCAGCCTGGCGAGTACCACGGTGACAGTCTGCAGCACCTCCTTGGTCGTCACGTAGAACTGGCAGTCGACGTAATTGAGGTCATTGGAGAACCGATTCAGCAGCCTCCCACGAGGAGTCGCCTCGAAGAAGGAGACGGGCGAGAGCAGCACACTCCGGAGCATGGCGCCGTGCAGGCGCGACGACAGCCGTCGAAAGGAGAGCGCCAGCAGAAGGCCAGCCAATGAGCCGAACAACACTGCGAGCGTTTGCTTTGAATTAGTCCTACCAGTGGGGCAACATCCACTTCGGTAACGATATAGTGCCTAGAATGTAGCATATTCTAGGCACCGTAGTACCGACTTCCGTACTATATGGCTAGCCGGTACACTGTCGAAGTTGAATTGACTGGCGCCAATACTTGTGACAGTGAATGGACACTGAATGCGAGGAAGCGCTACGTCAGTGCATGCAGCGTCGGTGCATTTGATGGTGAAGGAATTGAAGAAGCTTACTAGGAGTTGAATGGCTTAGCAGAAAGTGAAATAGGTAAAATAAAAAAACTCAGCTCCACTAAGTTCTCTGCCAGATAGTTCGATTTTGGACTTCCAAGTGATATGTCATTACGTTTCGTGTGCTTAAGGGCTCGCTTTTCGGAGCCCTTAAGTATACACTTCTTTCCCTTATTCATTCACGAGGGTCTCGTACTGGCAGACTCGGTGCCTTTAGGTTGTATACGAGGGACTATTGGTCAGCTGTCAGCTCGCAATAAGTTCACGTGCAACGTGACGCCACACAAGCTCGTAAAGAGTGTGCCACACTCGCCGCCATGGCTACAGGTGGCGCTGACTGACACTCCTACGTTTAGATTCACTTATAAACCCAATAAAGTGGCTGGGGTGGGGGGGGGGGGTAATCACCGTGGTAGCTCAGTGGTAGAGTATCGAACGCGTTATTCGAAGGCCGCAGGTTCGGTTCCTGCCCACGGCAAGTTATCTTTTCACCCACTTTTGTTTCTTCACAATTACCTTAAAATTCGGCCTAATAACTTCCCCTATACTTTCCTTGGCAGTATTGTCTGTTAGATTATATATATATATATATATATAAGGGAAAGAAGTTTATACCTAAGAGCGCGTTTTTCCGTGTTTTAACACAATATCAATGAGATCTAACAGACAGTAATGCCAAGGAATGTACAGGGGAAGTTATTATTAGAACCAATGGAATGTAAATAAGAAGAAAAGTGGATGAAAAAATAACCAGCCGTGAGCAGGAATATATATATATATATATATATATATATATATATATATATATATATATATTACCTGAGCCTGCGCATAAACTTGATTGATTGATTTGTGGGGTTTAACGTCCCAAAACCACCATATGATTATGAGAGACGCCGTAGTGGAGGGCTCCGGAAATTTTGACCACCTGGGGTTCTTTAACGTGCACCCAAATCTGAGCACACGGGCCTCGACATTTCCGCCTCCATCGGAAATGCAGCCGCCGCAGCCGGCATTTGAACCCACGACCTGCGGGTCAGCAGCCGAGTACCTTAGCCACTAGACCACCGCGGCGGGGCGCGCATAAACTTGCGTGATGGCAAGTTTTTCATAATAAAAACTCTTGCAAGTGAGCGTGTTCTCTGTTCAGTGCACGTTCTTCCCCACCGCAATCGTAGCTCACACCCTAATGTCCCCTTCTGTGGATCACTGGCTCTGTCCACACGTTTTAGGTAATACGCGGAAAACAGGGTAGCAGGGACGTGTGCATGCTTACAGTCACAGGCACAAAGTGCGCCGAGCACGCCGACCCAAGCGGCGTCCGAATATCCTCCGTTGTCGGGAGTGGCGGCCGCGTCGGTCCACATCTTGATCCAGCAGAGGAACGCCGCCACGGCCACCGCCCGCGCCACGATGCTGAGCACGGCCAGAGGGAAGCAGACCCCCGACATGGTGACCAGGGCCCGGGCCAGATCTAGTGTACTCTGCGAAACGAGCGGCGACACAGAAGGTCGATTGCCAGTCAGCCATTATGATTCAGTTATTCCTTCCCTCAAACGGGTGGAGCAATCTGCAAGCATGAATGAAGAAAGCAGAAAAAAATATGGGAAGGACCGCTGTTGGTCTTATTTTAAATTCTTTTTAACCAAGCTATAGAACAAGATGAGCGGTAAAAAAACTGACAGAGGCCAAGAAGTACGACAGATGAAGAAGCAAACGACAACAACGCTTAACAAACAGGACACTGAGCAAAAATGATAAATTTAAAAACTAGACTATAAGAGACCTAAAAAATTAAAAGGTAGACATATTTGAGAGAAATCTGTCCGGCTGGGTAAACTTAAAATAAAAAGGCGCTTGAGCCGATTTTTTTTTATTTTATTTTCAGAAACTGATCTATCTTCCGACTTGACGAGGTGGCGGTGGTGGCGGCGGTGGTGGTAGTAGTAGTAGTAGTAGTAGTAGTAGTAGTAGTAGTAGTAGTAGTAGTAGTAGTAGTAGTAGTAGTAGTAGTAGTAGTTAAGGAATAGGCGCTTACTTCCGCAGGCCAATAGAGAGCAAGGCGCAGCTTTAGGGGAAGGGCACATGGAAAATAAAGAGGATAGCGGAGAACAAACAGAAGCCTCCAAAATCTCGTCCACTCATGGGGTGAAGGGGAGACCGGCAAGTCACGGACGCACAATGGAAGGAGCTGATGGGGGTCGCCTCCATTCCCTCCCTTTCTCGGCTCTCTTCCCTGCAGCTCCATTGCCCTACCCCCAGTGCGCTACTGCAGTTCCTTTGTGAGAGACAGTTGCGGGGTCCACTATTTTCTTCTCATCCCAATTCATAACCACTTCCCCCAGTCGCATCCATAAACTCCAAGAAGCTCTGGAGAGCCCAGAGGATGGAAGCAGTAGCTCGTTTGCGGTTGTCCCAAGAAGTCCCTGTCGCCTGTGGGCAGTGGTGAGCCTATAGAGGACGCCATCGCTGGGCAAGTACAGAGAAGGTGCCCAGGGGTCCGGAGTCAATGTGACGTTCGCAGGCCCGCGAATGGTTGAAGTTGGGTAGACTTCAAGGCACCAGAACTGAAGCCAAAAGTAGCCAAAGTATCCACGTCATTTACCACCAAATTCGTAGCCAAATGGAGCCGGAGTTGTAAAACGAGCAGATTTTTAGTATATAAAGCTACTTTTATTATAAAGCTACTTTTTACTCATAAACCTACTTTTAATCAATGAAACCTGAGAAACGTTTAAATGTAGCAACAAAATAGCCAAGGTGTGAAGCGAAAATTTTCCTCGTCAAACAGGTCAAAAACTAGCCAATGCGCCCACAAGGTAGCCACCGACAACAACCCTGGTTGCCGGCTCCGAAGCTGGCGCTTCTAGGTCGCTGTTTCCTCCTACACCATCGTTTAACGAAAACGTTAACCATCGATGAATTCAATATCTCTCTGCACAATAAAATAAGAAACGCCCTGACGCACTCGTCCTTATCCTGCCTTATGAAAAGTGCTACAGTTTTTTTTTTTACAGTCTTCTCTATTAACGTCGCCACGATTGCCCCTTTTTCAAATTGTGCAACGCAACAAAAAGCAAAACAAAAGGAGCCCTATTTCCTGTCTCTTCTTCTGTTTCTTTTCTAAGCGTTCGCGCAGTGCGCCATGCTTTCAATATGCACTAACAACCCTGCAAGAAAGCATCATTGCGACGTCCTTCGGTCAACCTGACACTTTGGTTTTTGGCGACGTTTCGTGGCTCAGTTTCAACCGAGGTAAGTTTTAACGCCCATCTAGGTTGCTTCAGGAATATTGAATTCCTGAAGCAACCTAGATGGGCGTTAAAAATAGAGTTCGAATACCTATACATGCCTCTATTTTAGGGGCAAATACTTACATTTTTGTACTCATCTGAGGCTAAACACTTATATTAATAGCTCTATTTGTAAAATTACTTTCGTGCTAGTCTTTTTTGGACACTTTGCGCTTTGTTTGTTGTGCTCAGCTATTGCGTTTTTTGTGTATTTACTTTTGCGTTGTGCTTGAAATCTGTCTTGCTATTACGTCAAAAGCTAGCTTACTGTATTTCAAATAAATAAATGATTTTTTCCCCTGCATTAGTGATTGTAATATGTCATGTTATTTCGTTACTGTTTTCTAATTTCTGTGCCTTCGTTCTCTTTTAGTAAAAAGGCGACATGCGACTTCAGGTTGCAGTACTTTTCTCTGCTTATTTGCCCTCTGAGACCAAATCGCGACATCGGGAATCGCATCTTTATGTAAGTGTATAGTGCTCAGAAAACGCCAACAAGACTGATGTCGTCTTTCTAAGATTCCGTTTTGGTGCCTTTCTTGAAAATCCACCGACAGAAATCAGGCAACGAGGTCGAAGGCCTTAAGAAAAGCATCGGTTCTAAATTATCCGCTACCACATAACGTTGTGGTAAATAAGCTTTGTGAACGTTGCCGCAGCATTTCGCTAAAATCTGGTGTTACTAAGGTTAGTGTACATATAGCGTCGCATGCACAGAATAAAGAACAAATTTGCTATACCTACTAAATCTCTATTCCTTGTTTCGTCTGCAGTGAGTTTTCCGAAAACGCCATCTTCATCCGCCATTTCACATGAATATCTGCGAGAGAGGGACATTTTTTTAAGACAACATCTTCGTTCACCAGTTCCAACCGTATGGCGTAATCGGATGCAGTGTTCAATAACGATGATTCCTCGAGAAAAGGCAAAGCAGGTATTCAAACAAAATAAAGTTAATAAAACAAACAGAATATTATCTAAAAATTGAATTATTTATTTAAATAAATAAATAAATAAATTTATTTTAAAATGCTATTCTATATAATGCTATTTAATGCTATTCATTATAATGATGCTTACAAATTTAGCAAAACAAATTATTGAGAAAATTTTCAAATAGATATTAATTCCTTTTCAGAATACTTGCTTTTTTTCGGGTGCATTATCACAGGTAAGCAGGATTCTGCACGATGTGTTAAATTGCCAACAGTAATAGGCACCAAAAATACAAAAAACTAGGTTACACCGTAATTTAACAAGCAATCGGTTGACTTTGCTCAAGGGCAGTAAGAAAAACGCCACACAACATCAAGACAAATACATATTCTTAGAACTGATCACGTTACACAAAGAATATATACTAGCCACAAGGAAAGATTATTGAAAAGGGGACAAAGGGGTCTTTGTCAAGTATTTATTACATTGCGCTGCGTGGTCAGCTATGCATCACCCGACTTCATACTCTAGTCATACTGTTCCAATCATAGGAAAAAAATCGAATTTACCACATTGGACACTGAGAAATATTCTTCAGGCAACCAACGAGTGCAACTCTCGTATGTTCTTTGAAAAGAATTTCACAAAAGTGGTAAATACAGCGCGGCTGTGAATACTTCCAGAAACATCTTTTTTTAATTACATCCTCCTTGTTTTTTCATTTGAACCAAGATATTCAACTATTTTTCACATGAGAAAAACCTCAGTTATATGAATGCATAGTAATAAACACCGCTATTATTAGGCAGTTTTTTTTTCTTTTATCTCTCGTTTTTTTGCACTGTTTGTTATTAGGAATTTTACCTTGTTTTATTTACACGTGCTTAAACTTAAATTTATACGCACTTAGACTGCTTTAAAACTTCTTTAATAACGCCTTAATACCAAGAAAAATTATGCCTTGAGAAAAAGTCTGACCACACAAACCATTTTGAGAACAAATTTATGAAAATAATTTAGCGCACAACTTATTCAGTTCTAATTATCAGTAAATAATTTATTTGACTAATTATGTAAGTTCGAGTAACTTGCTTAAAAATTTCAATTTGCAATAATGATCTTCATTTAGCTGTCGCAGCTTTATTATCGTCGGGGGGGGGGGGGGGGGTGGCATGTCATTCAATGTCGCAAATATGAAACTGGGGCCATTCTCCGGTTATGACGAGTGCAGCATATCTGAGCGGCGGTAATTAGAAGCGCCGCACTGGGTTAGATGTTACCCGCTGGGTCGCCTGTCGGCGGCGTCTGACGAGTCCGTCTTGCTTCCGAACAGCAGCGTCTTGGGCGCCCTGTCGTCGGTGACCATGTCGGCCAGGGTTCGAAAGAAAAGCAGTCTCTTCTCCCACACCAGGAACAACTGTTCGACGTGTCTCAGGAACACACCTTGATTACACACCATAATGCGAGTCTATTGAAGGAGAAAGGGAGAAACGAGGTACAATAAAGGGTTAGTAAACAATGCCAAGGTCCAAAAATTGTTATGGAGAGAAGCACTCACTTTGGGAGCTTTGCAAATACGGGCTATATATAAGGAAGTTACAGGGTTTAGAACATCCAGAGTATCTGCCATGAATGGGGAGGGGAAAGGCGTAGCCTGTTGTGGCAACTCCGCCCACTTCGACCACATGACGCGACGTCATAGACACGTCATCGGCGAGCAGCCAACGACTGAGCACGGCACCCCCGACATGAACATGTGCCACTGCGGCGCGGAGAAGAAGTGCGGTACGAGAAGCACCCTCTAATCGCGGTAAAGTAACGAAGTGCCTCTTTATCTCCGAAGCTTTCGTTCTGGAGATTCCGCTTCTCCAGGTAGTCTCGGGCGTCGCAAAAGGGGCAAAGAGGAAGACAGGAAAAATGAAAATGCGGACTGCGGCACCGAAGCTGTATCACCGCAGGGCCAAGGTGCCATTTCGTAAAACAAATGATCATTCGACAAGCTCGGTGGCACATGATGTTACCATGGACAAGCTTGCGTCACTGCACGTACTAGGGGGATTGGTCAGAAGGCAAGAGACGTGCAGGCATTGTTTTTCAAAATAAAGGGTCTGTGGGGTGTGCAGCTCTGTAATATTGAGAAAATGTGATCACCATGGTCTACCGTACTATTTGGCGAGCTTGCTTGGGGTGGGGGTGGGGTGTAAAAACAAGTTGAAGCCTGTTCACTGGCCTTTAAATATAAATTCTCCAACCAAATTTCCCGCCAGAATAAATACCGTGGTATGTACAAGCTGTCACACTTTTGGGTAGATAATTTGAGAGACTATAACGCGACAAGTCTTGAACGTTTGGTTGTTTAGCACATGTCCAACTAAATTGGCAATTTCACCGCAATAAATGGTCAAATATGACGCCTTTGTGCGAATGCACTATTCGTGGCAGACTGGAAGAATGTCGTCTCTGCGGTGCTACTTCAGCGAGTCCCACAGTGGCGTAAAAAATGTCCCGTACGAGTTTTTTTTTTAATTACATGTCATAACCAAACAGTATTTTGAGTGTTACAGTTTAAAGTGCAACAGCTATCTAGAAGAAATATGTTTTTCATTACTTTTGTGGCTTTAAATATTCACCTGTTCTCCATAAGGTTTATGAGGCGCAAACACAACACTAGCGTTTTCAAAAAATGCAGTCTTGCCCAAAGTGAGACATATCAACACCGAAAGTCGTTTCCTGTAGATCCATGGTAGCGATTCGAATGCCGAATTCTCGGTACCTTGTGTTGGTAAGTTCTTTTTATATTATATTGGCATTCGATTGCGCTAATAGGCGTGTGTAATGTGCTAGTATCAGCAAGGGAGCTCATCGTGATGTCTCCGTGTGCTCTGAGAACGTGGCAATTCCTTCAGACCCCGTACACCACAACGCGCCATCGTTGGGTCCAGCGAACTCCGTACCTTGTGATTCAATAATCCCTCTCGTCCGATGACCCGTGCGAAGACCTTGGCGGCGACGTGAACATCCAACGCACTCAGAGTGTCGTCCATCAAGTAGATGTCGCTGTCACTGTACACTGCGCGCGCCAGTGCCACCCTCTGCTTCTGGCCTCCGCTTAATGTCTCGCCCTGCAAGGTCGAGTTACGGGGAAAATATAGAAGCATAGAAAAGAGTGCGACAGTACAATGTAACCCAGTACTACCTGGCGACGCCATCACAGCGTCGTGTTAGTGGATCTGGCCCCTAAACAGCTCTACCAACAATGGCCCAACACAATGAGCTACGTTTCTCGATTTCATAAGCAGGAATATAAAGTGAAAGATAAGCAGTGTCCTTGTATTTTGCCCAGTTCTATCATGCGAAGCCAAAACCTAAAAATCACAAGAAAACTTGTGAAGTGAACAAGTTACAGACCATACGGTATGCGATTGAACTACAAATTATAGGTGTTACTCCCGAGAGATGAAGGTAGTATACAGTGTATCAGACAACACATGGGGGTGGTCGATGTTTTACCAGATACCAAAAGGAGAAAGTAGATGATGGCAGGTGACATCATGCAAAGAAATGATAACCGAAGATCTGTTAATGTCATGTGAATACCAAGAGAGAGAGAGAGAGAGGGAGAGAGAGAAATAGAGAGGAAACGCAATGAGGTTATCAAAGCTTGGTTCGGTTGGCTACCCTACACTTTGGGTGGGGTAAAGGGGCAAGAATGGGAAGGAAACAGATATAGAGAAAGGAAGATAAATATGGGAAGCAAATGATGTCAACGGACAAGCTGGATCGACAAAATTAAGACGTTTGGAGGCATACATTTACCACCCAGTTGTAACTACTCAATTAGGTACTTAACAGTGAAATATGACTTCATGTACAAGGAAAAACTGTTTACACGTCGCTCAGCGCAAATTTAAACGAACAATAATAAGTGTCGGTGCTTGACGTCCAATAACCACGATATGTTTATGACGTACACTGCAGTGGACGGCTCTGCAAATTTCGACCAGCTGGTGTTGCTCAACTTGTACCTAAATCTGTGTACACGAGATTCTAGCGCATCCCCTACATAGACATAGAACCACCATGGCCGGGATTCGATCCCGCAACCTTTGAATCGGCAGTCGACCTCCACAATCACAATGACGACGACGACGATGATGATGATTATGATGATGATGATGATGATGATGATGATGATGATGATGATGATGTGGGGTTTAACGTCCCGAAACCACCATATGATTATGAGAGACGCCGTACTGGAGGGCTCCGGAAATTTCGACCACCTGGGGTTCCTTAACGTTCACCCAAATCTGAGCACACGGGCCTACAACATTTCCGCCTCCATCGGAAATGCAGCCGCCGCAGCCGGGATTCGATCCCGCGACCTGCGGGTCAGCAGCCGAGTACCTTAGCCACTAGACCACCGCGGCGGGGCTCTACAATCACAAGGCCACCGCGTTGGGGTCTAATAAGCCACGATTGAGATCTGTATGTTAAGTATAATAAAGCGCAATGATCTGGGGACAAAAGGTGAGAAAGACTAGACGAAGTGTTTTGTCCCGTCTGCCTCACCTTTCGTGTCCCGTTTATTGCACTTTATTTGTACCGAGAATGCATCACCAACTGCCTCAAGCTTGTGTACTCTTGCAAGTTTGCATGGTAAGCATGTCGCTCCAACGCACCTTCTCTCCGACTTCGGTCAGGTCTCCAGCAGGCAGTAGTTCCAAGTCCCGCGCGAGGTCGCACGCTTCCAGGACGCGCAGGTAGCGTCCGGCGTCCATGCGCTTGCCGAAGAGTACGTTGTCTCGGATGGTCATGTTGAATATGCACGCCGCTTGCGGCAGGTAGGCCACACTGCCCTGCGTTGGGTAGATTGACAACGAACCTGCTGTAAGCGGGCAATGCTTTACGGCGATTTGCGGGTGGAAAATGTTTTTAGGGGCCTCAAGGCTCGCGGTCCAAAACGTGTTTAGGGCACACGTATATTCCCAAGGCCAACTTGAGCTTAATTAGTGCTAATCTTGTATTTACTGTACAGTTGTACAGTCTAAGGGTTTCGTATATATAGGCGAATCATTAGAATAATTTCTTTCAGTTTATTAAATTTCAGTTTCTATGCTGTATTAGATTTTTAGAAACTTTCACTAAGAATGTTTGCTTAGGTAGTTTGTACACCTTTTATTGCAATACTGTAAACATGTTCTCTATTCCGCCCATATTTAAGAGGTCGTGGTCCCTGTCAAGACTATAGAGGCTTTTTGAACACTGCCCTCAGATTTCCAAATGTTGAAAATAAAAGTTTCATGTAGTCATCAAGTCCTCGTGTTGATCTGAATATAGCGAAATTTCAGGAAACTGCTGCTCTGCATTATTTCCTACTTTGAATATCAGCAGTTTTGTTAATACGCATTAGCTCTCTGCAGAATGAAAAGCAGTGAGGTCCGCTTTAGAAGCCCATGACGATAGTTATAGCGCGAGAATAACACGACGACACAGAGACAAGAAGGACACGAAAGACCAACTAGCCAAAACTGCCACACTTCTAAGTTACAAGCCCAGCCGCAACAACATGTTCTTCACCTACCAACCAAGTTTCCCCATTATCATTTTCTTACAAGATTATTGGACGTAATTTGTCCTTGCATTTAACGAAACACTTAGACGTTAATTCATTTTTACCAAAATTTTCTCTTTTTTTTCTTTCGAAAAAAATCTTGTCCGGCTATTACCGAATTTTCCTTCACTTACAGCCTTCATATAATTCTCGACAATGTCTTTCTCTCAAAAAGTGTTTTCTTTTTTCGCTTTGCCAACGCTTTCGACAAAGCGTGTAATAAATTGCTTAGATGTAATTCGGTTCGTAACAAGACCAAGATATTTGTGTTTTTCTTTTAATCCACTTAAGTCCGTCACAGCCTGCTCTAGAGAGTGCAATAAGATTATTTGAAAAATAAACAAGCAGGCAGCTCCAATTTCGGACAAAAGGTTAAATCACGCCCTGGAAAAAATAATAAATTTGCTTTTCAAAGTAATAAGCAATTTACCCTATTTAAAATATAAAATCGCTTTTTAATTGTTCTCCGAGTTCCATCCACGTAATTATCAAATTGGTCATAATTTATCTATTTCTTTCTTAGCTTCTTTTTCTTCGTTTGTCTTTATTCGTCTACGTAGCAAACTTATATGAAATGTCGAACTCTACTCCTGCAGTCCAGCTAATGACTGCCTTATTAGATCATACAGCTCGTAGTCCACAGACACCTAAGAATACCGCAAGCGATACCAGAGGCAACCTATACATAAATACAGCTGCAAGCGAAAGCGACGGAGATCGCGCACGCGTTTCATTTTTGTACGAAACTTTCAAATCGAGAAAGACAAAAGTTGTACGGCTTAGTTCTGCTGCAAATGGCTTTCACTACTCTGGAGACCTCTCGATTCTATCCCAAAGAGGAGAGCCTTATCAGAGTCCAGTATTGCGTGCACACTCTTATAAACTGAGGACCTCCAGAGTGCCAGCAAGAAGGCGTTGGTACAGCCCCACTCAACTCTCGGTAAACTACCGTATTTAAACAAAGCTGGCACTTTTTTTTAATTAAATGTATATAAGGAGAGGTTCGTGCGATTTGTGGCGCTGGCTATACTCCTCTGCTTTTGCGCCACAGTCGTCCCCGCATATCAGAAAACAGACACGAGCCTACACAAAGGCACACAGTAAAACACTCACACACTGTTTACAAGTTCCCCAATACAGAAATCGGTCCACGCAACACGCCATTTGAAATAACGCAAGCAATCACGGAGTTTGAATTGGTTATACAACGCGTAAAATGTCACGAAAAACGAGCCGAGGCTTACGTGAACGTGGATATCTCCGTCGACGCAACGAAGCTCCCCAAGCATAGCAGCCAACAATGCGCTCTTCCCACTTCCCACGAGTCCGACAACGCCGACGAAGGAACCCGGTTCGACGTCCATGGTGACGCCACAAAGCACCGGTTTCTCATTTCCAGCCGTTTCCTCTCTTCCACCGCTCCAGGCCAATGAGCACTTGCTCAGCATCACGGCACCTGCGAAACCGGGTATTGAGTTGAGTATTGCCGACTTTCACAGCCCCTTAAAGCTTTCCATAGATTATACTTCCCGTTGAAACGTAATCACCATTACCAGCTCATTATAAACCTACCACCCATCGAACGCTTCTCGTAAGGATTTCCTATCTACACTGTCTATCATTCCCAGGATTCGAGGAAATCCACTCCCAGTGTCATCCGTCAGCGCCCTCAACGGCGTCCTCCCAAAACTCGATGAGGAGTAAGAAAAAATATATAACAAAAAAAAGTTGGTCATCCAAAATGACTCCGTTTTATGCAATAGATACTTATGGGAGAATTCCGGCAAGATCGCAGCATCGCTCTACAAGTCATGTGGCTTCTACATCATGTCCCATTGTCAAATATTAAGCACCCTATGAAGCCGTATGATTTGTAGTGCGACATTGTAATACTAGTAAAATGTTTCTGTGGGTCTCTGCTGCATGTAACCAGGATTCTTTTTTTTACGTAACCAGCTTCCCTCGTTACATATTTTCTCACCTATTTCTCAATCATTTACGGTAGGCCACCCTTTTTGCCGACAAGTGATGGCGTTACGTGTGCACGTCCCTAAATTCCCGATTATGGTACGAGTGGTTTTGATTTCATGCCTGGGCACATCTTCATTTCGTCATATCATCTGACCCTCTTGCGTCTTTGTCTGCGTTTCCCTGTTCTCGGAATTCACACCGTAGCTCCAAGTGGCCGTTGGTTGTCGGTCCCCCGAACCCTGTCAGCCACATTCCTCACTAATTTCAGAGGCGGCGGCATAGTTCACCGATAACTAACACTGCGTCTGCAAGTGTGAAGATGTGCGGATGTACAGTACCGTCCACTGTTAAAAGAAACACTTTGATGAGCACCTGTCGTATTGCGGGCCTCATTACTGCACGTACACATAAAAAACATTGTTTGTGCATGGCAGTAGTTTATCAAAAGGAGTCAGAAAAGTCAACCAGCAGTAGTCTTATGCAGATCTAAGCCTCTATGCTTTTGCCAGAGAGCGAAATCTGGACATGGTGCACACGAAAGTGTTCCCTTTAACTGTGAACCCGTCTGTACTTTTGAAAAAAAAACCTCCGAGATTGCGCCGGCCACATCAGTATTTGCATGAGCCATTTGCTAATAAATGATCCCTTCTCAATCACAATCTTGTAGGCGATTAGGCGTTTCCGGTAGCTAATCCGATCTCTCATCAAGGTCACTTACTATTTGTCGTTGCGACATTTGACCGTTATCATTCAACATTGCATTACTTCGTCTCCCACTGTTGTCACCTGTATCTGCAGCAACCCAAATGTCATGGTCTGAAGCACGTGGCTCAAGGTCCCGCATGGCGGAACAAAACAGTCCAGAGGGAACATGGCGCAATGCGTGCGGTAATAAGCAAGAACAGGAAAAGAATAGCACATAGCGCAATGCATGCGACGTCAGACATGTCCACACCACGCTTCGCCGTCTCCCGTTTTCCCGATAGGAAACTTGGACTGCTAATTAGATGTGGAGCATCTCTATCTCGTGGCTGTGTCACGCTTCCGGCGTCCACACTCACACTACGCATGCGCGACACTCCTCTTTCCCTCTCTCCAGCAGCTGCGCGTTACTCCCTCCACTTCTCTCCTACCATATGCTTGCGCTCGCTGCAGTGCGCATGCGCGTCCTCTCTTCGCTGTGCCCTCTCCTATGCTTCCTCTCTCCTGCCTCGCAACGTCGCCGCAAGGAGCGTCTGCAAACCTACGCTCGCTCCCCCTCCTCCGCTTTAGGCATTCCTTCCCCACGGGGTCTCGAAAAGACGACGCAGGCAGCGTCTGCAAGCGAGTTTCTTGATTGAAAAAACACCGACTGCTGTCGCTGTACAACCGCAATGCACAACATCACCCCATGGTCCCCTTCGGAGAGATGCCTTTTTCGTTCCATCCACGTTGCGCGGTTCTTGTCGAATTTCTTCGGTACCCTCCAAGTTTACGCATTGTATGTTAGCGGCGGCCTGTCTTGATTTGGCAATGTCTAACGTAAGCGCTTAAGAGCGTCCCAAATTAAAATATCACCTTTTGCTTAAATTATAAATACCAATATTTTAGCGTTCCTTGAATAAATCGTCTGAAAAGTGAATTATGGTTTTAGAAATAAAATTACAGGATTTAGTTATTCATAGAGTTTGAAGCGATCAATCAATTATTGAAAGGATCAGTGCGACAAACACAAACACGATAGGGCAGAATTAACCACATCTTAAGCACTGCGATGTCTTCCTCGCAGCGCGAAGAATTGCCCACCTTTTTTCGAGGTAATGTGCTGGGCTTGGTCCTTTTTGATGCACTCTTCTTCCCCAGTAAGAGTTCTCACCATTCTTCGTACGCCTTCCGAAACCTGAGAGGTCGGTGCACAAGGGTTAATTATTATTTTTCCGAAATGAGGACATCCTTAACTACGGCACGCACTCTTAACAGAAAGCTATAGTAAAGGAGGTAGTAGCTGCGGAATATCACTACTCGCATCTTCACTGCACTGCGTCTCGTTAGGGTTTTACTATATGTTGATGCATTAGAGGTAGTAAACGTTCACATTACTGCTCAGCGTGCCGGGATTAGGTATTTTTACTGTGTGCGTATACGTGATGGGGCAAGAAACGCTACTACTCTACATTACAAACTCATATGATTTTTATGTTATGCTGTAATATCGTAACCTCGTCGAGGAAAATTCTGACAAACTATAATTATCCTGATAACGTTGGTATACCAGTTTTTCTGGAGCGGCCTCTGCCCAGGCCACGAATTCGCCGAAATTTTCAAAGTTGTTACCGCCATAACTCTTTTTTTTATTCTCATGACACCCATATTAAAGAAGGTGTAAGCTGTAATATGGTGACCGTTTCGTTATTGCTGAATCTAAAAATTGAAATTATGTGTCATGCGCAGAGTACACTGAGCTATTGTTTTGTACTATATTTGTGAAATACTGTCCCATCGCCAAGAGCGACACAGGGTCCATAAAACAAGGTTTATTCGAGCAAACGTGTGTTTCATAACAAGGCAAAACAAAACGACGAAACAACAGCTAAGAAAACGACGCGCTCACATGAGCATCGGCGGTGAAAAGAGACAGTCGCGGCGTTAGTCTATCTGCAGCGATCGTCGGATTGCGCTGATAACTATCGTCTGGTGGCGACAGGGCGAAAAACTCTCTCTATAAAAAAATGCTAGCGTGGCATACAACAGAAAGCAGGAAACTTGCGATTTGCTGCAAACAATGGTAAGACAATCGGGCGGTGACATATGTTGGCCACAAAACAGCTATAACAAACTTTGAGGCATGAATTATGTCAGTATGACCTAATCTTCGTGCGTTTTAATATGTGTTAAGCAGTGCTCATTACACTGTATTCAGTAAAGGTTCGTTCTTGCGATGAAAGATTGTATGTACGTCCGCTTATATGCTTTTTTTTTTAAGGGAGGCGAAAGTGATGGAGGCCTGAGTGGCTAGATTTAGGTGCAGATTAAAGAACCCCAGCTCGAACTTTCCGGAGCCCTCCACTATTCGGTGTCGCTTGTGATCATACAGTGGCTTTGGAATGTTAAACCACTTCGATCAATATTATACGCTTTTTTCTTTTTCCAGCATTCCTGAATGATTTGATATGTATATTTAGGCTTGCGCAATTATTTGAATGCTTCGAATATTTCCAAAAATAGTACAGTATTGAAATTAGCTTCGATTAGAATTTAAAATATTGAAAATTTTGAAGCATTTGAAATGAACGAATAAATGTAAGTTAGTCCGCATGCAACTCCTGTAAAAGTGGTTTCACTGAGTTGAAGTGGTGATAAGCCGTGAAAGCTCCTGTCCAAATGTGTGTTAACCCACACAAAACAATCTGTAAAGGTCGTTTCACCGCAGTAAATAAGTGCTACACCGTGAGTACATCTACACAAAAAGATTTGGAGTGCCGCGAAGCCCCGTTTCAAGCTTAAATGAACATATTACCCTCGCATCAATACATCATTTCTTTAATCTTACAAGCCTGTTATACCGATATAGCAAATTTCACAACATACATATTGTACAGGTTAGCACTTGCATCGTACCGAAAATTATGCTGCTATTAAAAGTGTTATTCGACTTCCTTTGGACAAATAAAAAATTAGAAAGAGAAGAAAGCTATTTTCACAGGTCTCGTTTCAAATTCAAAAGATTATTGTAGAGGTTAGTTAGGTCATAAAACTTATGCCTTTTTTCTCTATATGTGATATATACCATTCTAAATTGATTTGAATTTATTCGACCAAAAACACAATTCGCTTGAAATTTGCTTCAAACCTAAAATTCACTATTCACACAAGCCTCGTATATTTGCACACATTCCTGTTTTGTCTTACTCTGTGGCTGCCTGAAGTGCCTCCCACAGAGCGGACCAAGTCAATCTTTCTCATTCGGTTCTCTCCCCGGGAATTCTCAAACGTTATAATATTTTTTTTTTCAGGAAAGCGAAATGAAAAAAAAAACAACTGAAGGCAAGCACCATGCTTCGATGGCGTAAGCAGGCGGAGATGTTCACTGCCACGATGTCCATGATGGAAAGCATGTACAGGGAAGAGAAAGACCGTGCAGCCGTCAGGGTTGCCGGTCGGTTAACGGCAGCAAAGGTTCCCAGCAGGATTATGGTCATCTGCAATCGGAAGTAATTTAATGATGACTAATAAAATGCTGGGGTAATATCATTGGTGGCAATATCATTGCTAATATAATGGCAATATCACCGTGACTATAATCATCACTATCATCCTTATTATATCTTGTCCTGACCACGTGTTCGTACTTTTTTCTCGTGTTTTTTTTTCGTATTTTCTCAAGTAGACGTTAGCATTGCCTAATATTAATTTTCTCTTGCATGCACCAGCTCGAATGCACCTTGTGGTTGTTCTACGACACGTCCAATAACCGATTGATTGATTGATGAATAAACCAGTCGGTTGATCGAAATATCAATATGGACCTGTTAATACCACTATACTTATCAACTTGACATAGATTGGTCGAATGGTGATTATGATGATGTAACCGAAAGAATCTCTTATGACAATATTTTACAACATGGGGCCAATGGTCGTAAAACAAAAACGCCCCGACGAACACGAAATTTGTCAGCATAGTAGTGCGAGACATGCCGCAAGTCAAGGCCAGACTTGCTAGTTTTCGTGTCACCAATAAGCGTTTGCCATCATCATCATCAGCAGCCTGAATACGCGCGTTGCAGGGCCTCTCCTATGATCGGTCAATGAACCCGGTCTCGTGCTTTCTGCTGCCACGTTATAGGCACCCGGTAATACAGTTTACGAGATCTGATGGTAGCGCCAGAACACACAGCCTAGCGAGTAGGTGCAGCAAAACCGAGTCTTCCAATGCGCAGCCCAGCGAGTAGACACAGCAAAACCGCACTTGCATGTGCATGTCATTTTCTTTTTTAGTTGTGGGCAGGGGGGCCACAACTTCTTATGTAAGCACCCAGGAAGCTTCCTTTGAAAACGTACCAAAATGGCAACTGACACTTCAGCGTGTCTCTGTGTCCAGCGAAAGTTTCAATTTCTTAGTATCCCTGGCGGTCGGTACCAACAATGCTGTGGCGGCCCAAAAAGCTTCGTCGCGCACTCTGGTCCCCTGTCGGGTGCCTATATCTGCGATGTTTTTGAAAAGCTCATCCGCCCACCTAACTTTCTGTGTCCCCCTCGTGCGTTTGCCTTCTCTGGGTATCCAGTCAGTTATCTTTAATGACCAGCGTTTATGCTTGCTTAGAAACGCATGCTTAAAAAAGCAGTATACCGACGCAAAAATTTTCCATCTCTTTTTGTGATCCCAGACACAGGCTAACGACCCAGATTCCACGGCCGGAAGTCTCCCTTTCTCGAGCGAGCAACAACTATTTATTTGGATGTGTTTTCAACACCGTCCAGTCACAGCTTCGGTTTCAGAGGGCTCTTGAAACGGCGGGACAAAGCGGGGTTCCTTGATAAGAAGTGCTGAACACGTGAACCACACAAAATGCAGCGACGCATTCGCCTCGTGCACCGGAGGTGGCATAGCGGGCACGTGATCACCATTTAACTGAGTTTGAGCACTGCGTCAGATAGCGCACGAACGACTTTGGCCGACAGCACGCGCAAGGAGCAGGGCAGCTCGAAAAGTATATGGTTGTTCGCACTTATTTAAGTTGATGTCGAATTCGCAAGATGTTCCGTTTTGCACGTACTAGACGATACGCCCTATAAGATGTAGTTTGAGCAAGTTCCAAGATATATTTATTCGTTAAAGTCTTCTAGATGTGCGTGTTCACACACCTGTTGGTACGTACATGTGTGTGTTTGTGTGCGTTTGTGTGTTGTTCTTGTTATTGTTATTGTTGCTGTTGTTATTGTTACTGTTGTTATTGTTACTGTTGTTGGTATTGTTACTGTTACTGTTGTTGTTACTGTTACTGTTGTTGGTATTGTTACTGTTGTTGGTATTGTTACTGTTGTTGGTATTGTTACTGTTGTTGTTACTGTTGTTGTTGTTATTGTTATTGTTGTTGTACACGTCCGCACAAATTTACCCCACAAGTTCGCCCACATTCACAATTTTGTATCAGTACTTCCTGATAACAATTGCATATCTTCGCATCCTTCACCAGTTTTCGTACGCGGTTGGCTACAGCAGCGGTTACCTTTGTCTAGACCGTCAAAAGCTCGCACGAGGGTTTCCCACCTTGGTAAAACTATGTTTTACCAGCCTTTCAGTGAAAATGACCGAAACCTATACGCACCAGGGAGCTGGAGGAGACTTGCAGGGAATCGACGAATCCGTCCAGCAGGTTGGCAAGGAAGATGAAGAAGGTCTCCCTCTCGCGGAAGCGGTTCATCGCCCGGACCAGTGCGTCTTCCCAGGCGTAGAACTTGACGAGCCGGACGCAAGACAGAGTGTCCGCCATTTTCTTCAGGCGCTCGTCCCGCTGACGGTTGACGCGCTTCTGTTCACGCGGCGCCAGAAAACAACGCATAAGGCTATACACCAGCATATTTAGTTACAGCGCGAAGCCGACGAAGAGGAAGACATGTGAGCGGTCATACGTGGGGCAGAGATGAATTGATGTGCGCTAAATAGGGCACAGAAATTCGCTCAAGAAATCGACCACTTCTCATCTGACATCGCACTGCAGCACGTGTGGCTGTTCACCTGCCTTCGCCGATACAGAGATTCTGTCAAGACACCGATCCCGGATAACTAGAGAAATGATAAAAGCTTTCCGTGTTAAACGAATGGATGAAACATGCGTCACTGGGGCATCTATATACCTCGCTGAAAAAGAAGTTCGCATATCTTCTCAGCACACGTGCGATAAAGTGATACGCTACGCAACTTTTTTTCTATCCCTTTTCAACACTTCTGCGTAATGTTGATACGCTTCTTTTTTTTCGTGACTTTTATCTCACGCTCTTGCATTTTTCAAATAAACTTTTCAGTTGCGAGTCAGCGCTCCTCTGTGTCCCTTCCATCTTCGTCGATCTCGCGCTATGACCAAAAATGCATCCGTATCAACTAGCCTAACTTTCTATACTACTGCTATATAGCTGTTTCACAGCAGTGTTGATAAGATTTTCGACAAGCCCAATCGTGTCACCAGAAAGCTGGCGCAGCGCCTAGCACAGCGTAAAGAAATCACGGCCACGTATCTACGTGCGTTTTTGAACAAGGTAATGTAAGTTATCTGGCCTTGTGTACTCTTCCTCTTATTGTCATATCGGTATTTGCGCTGCTGTTCACCGTAGACCACCAATTAACCCGAATTTTCGAGTCCAAAAAGTCACAGTTTCACCGCAAGGGCGAAGCAATGAATGCGATAGCAGCAACTTGGAATGTAACGCTGATAATGGCAAACCGGGCGAAGCAATGAATGCGATAGGAGCAACTTGGAATGTAACTCTGATGATGGCAAACCGGTCGAAACGTGCAGCGCGCTGCTCACGCACAAATGAAGCACGAAAACAACACACACAGGACGAGAGTGAACGAACAACGTTTACCACTCGACACTTAACACGCTGTTTAAACGAAAACGAGGCGCAGGTACAGATGTGAGTGTGAACTAACGAAGGCCCCAGTTGTTACTTCGCTGTGTTTGAAAAAGCGCACTCTTTTCGCAACGGTGCCAGTCCAGCGAGCGAAATGATGTTCGTGCGCTCGGCAAATATACGCAATCATTCCGGTCGAAGGCGCGCGATTCTCTCCACCGAAGAATAAGCGCACGCGCACAAGTATTAACCCTCCCCCACCCCTTCATCTTCTCCCTCGGCAAAGCTTTCGTGGTGTGGTCTGCAAGATCCCATGCACCGATTACGAATCGGTGTAAATTGGCGAATGTGGCAATTTCTGCAAAAGTCTAAAGCAGCATAAGAATGACGTCGCCAAGAGCCACACAGCGACTAATGCACTCACAGAGCTTGCCGAGACAACGCCTCCTTTAATTCAATGTCCAGTGCAAACGCACGCTTCTCGACGGGAGCTGTCGGTCCGCCCTGATTCAGGTAGTGGTCGTGATGCAGCGCTATATGAAGGGGTCACGCTAAAGACCCTAGATCATTAGGTCGCGCTGCTCGCGTCACACGTGCACCCGAGTGCTTTCCCCCGACGGTGTGATAGACGTGTTTCCCACACCAATAACATACGTCTGACAGATTCGCTCCTTCATGCTACCTCTTTCTGGCTCGAGACAATGCTGCCGCCACGTCACATAGCAGCGCATGCAGAAACGTTGCAGTGACGCTACCCCATGGATTGCCCGCCTAGCGCCACCAACGGCGACACGCTCTCTCAAAACACCGTGTATTACATGGCGCCAGCGTGACTGCCAACACTGTGAAGACGAGGAATGCAAGGCGGCGCCCCAAGGATCTACACACAACTGAGCGAGAATTACTTCTTATGATTTCCGTCATAAGGGGCTACTCTCCCCCATGACAACAAAGCACACACGAAGGCTAGGCGGTGGGCGAGAGCGGGAAAGGGTTATAGAGGAGAGGGTGGTGAATAGCTGAATCGGGCGCCCTTGACTGGCATTGATGAAATAGAGGAGGCGTTGGCTGAGTAGACAGACCACGAGATAAACTGGGACAACGAACGCATCATGGCTACGGAGGAAAATTAGACAACGAGACCCAACCCCGAATCGCTAATCATTCAAACAACGAGTAACACAAACAACAGATCATCTGGCACGCTAAACTGCCTGTACTCCCGGACTTTGCGTCATGCGCTAAACGCTACATAAGAACCTGCTGCTCAGCCGTCATTCAGTTGTGAGATCATGAAACGTCCTTCATGTTATGTTTTGACATTGGTCGATGATGTATAGTTGCAATGCGGGCTTGTTGTTAACGTACTTGAAAGATATTGACGTAGCCCGAAGCGAAATACGGGCACAGGAAAGAGCGCCGCAGTCGCCCAAAAAAGCAACATGTGAACGTACGTGTAGAAAGCGTCCATTATACGAAGAGCAAGGGGGAAGACACTTTCACCACCTCCTTCTAGGGCTGCATTCTTAGCAGCCTTGACTAGATGCTACACATTGTTGTAGAGATATGTAGCATAACTATGCAATGTACACTTCCCACACCAAATTCGAAAGTTTGGTCACAGCACAACGTCAGATTTATATTGTGTACCCCACTCTCAAAGAATGGTTAGTCCTACTTGGCCTTCCCCTCAAAAGGGGGATGCCAGGCCGGGTAGTAGTTCATGGTACTTCAGAAACCATAGCGTACATGCTACACGAAAACATTTTGTCCTGTCTCCATCTTGTCCGTGTCCATGCACTGCGCTACGGTTTCTGAAGTACGTCGACTGCACCCCCCCCCCCCCCCCCGTCAACACCTTCCCATTCCCTCTGGGCGAATGGGAAATCTACGCCATTGCTGAACAAACGGAGATTTGATGGCCAGTCGGCACTGCGTATCAAAGTAAATGAACGACCACCAGTATCTTTGACTGGTGTGAGCGAGCGGCACCTAACCTGCGCCATATGACAAAGTTACAAAACAAAGGCGTTGAAAATTGCATGCGCATAAAGTGTGTTATACTGGGGTCATCTTCCGCTAGGCAGTTACCTTTAAGGCTGTCACGAACAGTCATCATGAATAAGCGAACTATATTGCTAGAATGTTACTTTTATGCCTATGAACGTTGCAGCAAGCAATCGAAATATAATTTTATGATACGCCACACACACACACACACACACACACACACTCATGATACACTGTGGAAGATGGTTCGTCTGAAGTGGACTAACACGTATTGACGCCTATATAAGAAGCACCAGCCTGTCAGACGAGGGGCTCAGCTCAGTGAGCTTTGTGAACATGCACTTACCCTCGACCAGTTTGCAGTATCGATCCGTCAATCGGCGAAGACGCACAGGGAGTACGCCGCACACGCACGCTAGTTAAATATATTGGGCGGCTTCACGTTACGGGTCGGCTTACATAACGACTACCAACCTTGGAAAGCCAACAAGTTGAATCGGGAGCGTAATATACTTGCCCAAAATCCCGTCTGCACCTTGGAGACCGGGACGAAGAGAGCCAGTGACACCAGCTGCCAGGCGACGCAGCCGACGACGGGAAGAACACCGACACGCTGCACCAGCATCCACAGGAGAACAGGAAAACAGAGGAGACCGCTGGTGATTTCGAATATGATGATAGCAGCCATGTTTAGTTCCTCGCAATCCACGCCCACCAGAGAGACGAGGTATCCGGTAGGGTTCTCCGAAAGGGTCCGACCACTCATACGCGTTGTCTGTAAGGGCAGAACCGACTCTAGATTGACCGTAGCGCAGCGAAACACGCAACAGAGCGCTCACTTGAAACTTATTATGGCGAAAGCTTCAGATTCCTTATCAAACCTGAAATGTGACCATAGGCAGCGACCGTGCGAACGCTCTGTGGACGATCAATGCAAAAATAAAAAAACTTGGCTTTTTAGGAATCGGTATAACACGAAAGCGAAACGTGTTTTCACAGAGCTAACAGAGCGTCTCTTGTGCATTGTCTCGCCACGAAGGAATGAATGCTACAGCAACAAGTTGCAATGTCACGCGGAGAACAGCAAGGAGCTGGAAACTTGCAGCGCGCGCCTCAAGCAGAAAGCACGCACGAAATAAATATGTACAGGACGAACTCGGACAAATAGGGCTCAATATTTTAACCACGCTGTTCAAATAGAAATAATTACGAAACGAGCGCACAAGTATACACGGGACACGCGCGAGCAACTCTCATATTTCTTACTTCATGTGTGAGCAGCGCGCTCCTTTCGTAAACGCGGCCGCGGCAGCGAGCGAAGTGACCTTCGTGCTCTTTTTAACCACTGTAACTTCAAAGAAAACCTGCCGTGGAAGCAAAGATGTACACATCACCCCGATTTCGCGATAAGCGCGCACACGAGTGAGCGACCACGGCAAAGAATGTCTATACGTACTTTGACCACGCCATAGGGAGGCAGGTGCGCGCGCATAGCTACACTCGGGGTGGCGCGGAGGCCACGACGCGTGACCACGCGCGCCCAACACTACCCAACACGCGGTACTCGAGTAATCTCGCTACTGATGACGAAAACGTTCTGAAGTGACTAAGCTCCGAGTACGGCTAACGGTACATGGTGCGTACAAATGTATTGTCGTTAGCAAGCTGAAAAATGTACATCTAATGGCGTAGTGGTCAGCATCGCGCTCTGCGGAGCAAGAGGTCACCGGTTCGACACCTAATTTAGGTATATCCGTGACGGAAATACGTCATCATATATCCGTGATGGAAATACGTCAGCTGAGCCGTGGTGGGCCCTGGCATGAAAAAACTTTCATTTTAAAAACATCAAGCGATGACGCCACAATACGACGTCGTCATAACGTCATGAGCTTGGGTGTGGCTTCATGTTACGTACCGCCCCATGACGCCGTTGTAGCGCCCTCCTTTGGGCAGCGAACAAAACCGGACAGCGTGCGACCTGGAGAGCGGTATACGAAGCTGGTACCTGACAGTAGCACGTTAAGATTGCTTGCACATCGTTCTCCCTGCTTACACATCGACTGTGAAGATAAAGAAGGCTCGTGCTTTCGAGTCTTCGAAGGCGAATACACGCCCTGTGAGTTTTCTTTTTTTTTTTCGGTGGAATAGATACACAAAGATACACGGGGAAGGGTGGGGAGGAGCGAGTGATATGAACGAGATGAATACCAAAAAAAAAAAACGCGCTGAAGCTCGAGTCACGACTAACCTTTGTGAAGAGTGCCGCTTGCATGAGAGCCTTCATCTGTAACGATAATCGCAGCACCACGTATTCCAAAAAGCCCGAAAGGAACACTTCCGCCACGCACGTTGACAGGAAGAGCACCGTCAAGGCTGTCGTCGCCGGCTGGCAGCCCAACTCCTCGATGAGAGCCCTTGAATAACGGCGTAAGAAAACGGACATGCCGCTTCCGATTCACGAGATTCCAAGTGAATTTGTGAAATTTAAATAGTCCTCAAAGTGCGTGCACGACTCTCGTAACGTACTGTTTTATCTTCTTGCATATGATTTGGCATAGAGAGTTTGAAGTAAATAGCACCTTGGTTGATACATCAATCCCTGTTTGGTTCAGAATGTATGTTAATTAGTTTAGTAATTGTATTTACCAGAGATCGGAAACCTGCGGCCAGCAGGGCAGTGTTATGCGACTGTCGGCACGACATGAAAAACACCACCCCCTTTGGTTTAACTAGTCGATGAACACCCGTCGACTAAGCGACGAACAACTCCAACCCTTTCTGGCATTTGTCAGTGAGCGAGTTCGAGGTAAACATATCCAAGTTCGCTAAGAAAGTTCAGCTGAAAAAGCCGCATCAAAATAATATTAAATGCTTCTAATGTATGCTAATGAATTGCAAGTTTGTGTGCGTGGTGCGAATAGACACAATTTTTATGCCAGTTTGGTGTGCCCTCAAAGAAAATTCACTGAACTTTCCTCTTTGCATCTGACGAAAGAATGAATCATAATAAACTTTGTGAGCCGACTTGTATTGGTGAGCCTAAGTAACTCAGAATAGTGAAGTGTAACTGCTGAACACGAAAACTGCACCATCTCCCCGAATGGGACCATGGTGTGATGCGGAGCATCGAGGTTGTTCAGCGCGAGCATCGATCAAGAAACTCGCTAGCAGACGCTGCCTGCGTCGGCTTTGCGAGGCCGGGGAGGGGAAGCATAGGGGAGGAGAAGGGACGCACACGCACACAGTGGGAGCGAGTGCAAGCAGGTGGCAGAAAACAGTAACGCGCAGCTGTTGGAGAGGGGAAAGGAGGAGAGTCGCGCAGTGTGAGTGCGGGATATGAATGCTGTGACATATCCGCGAGCAAGAGAGATAGAGAAAGAGAAGAAAACATATCAGAAAGGTAGGGAGGTTCACTATACTAAGTCCAGTTAGCTACCCTACACGGGGGAGAGGGGAGTGAGGGAGCAAAAGGGAGAGATGAGGAGGAGGAGATACACATTGCACATAACACACACACCGCACACACAGTTCAGGTTTCACAGGCGGTCGCAAAGTGACGTTGCTCTCAAGAATTGCAGATGGGCTGGTGTGGCTTTTTTTGCTGAAGTGCGTGAAGGTCCCGCTCCCAAGATCTTTTCCATAGTAAAGAATCAATCATCCAGCCTCCTTAAGGCATACTGGAGAGTCCGGCAATCTTTTTCAAAGTCTGGACAATGGCACAGGGCATGCTCCACAGTTTCTACACAATGGCAGTTATCACAGTTAGGGGAGTCAGCCACGCTAATGCGATGACTTAATGAATTGGTGGGGGCAACGCCGACCCTCAACCGATACAGCATTGTAGCGTCCCGTCGCAACGTCTTTGATAGCAGCTGCAATTGTAGTAATGAAGTCAGGGTGTGTGGGTGTCGAGTGCAGTTTAGTGGAAGATCCCGATGCATAAGTGTGGTATTATGCGCGATGTGGCGAAGTTCTTTTGCGGCATCAACCCTTGACAGGGGCATTGGCAGTGTGGGTGCTCCGTCGTGGGCACAACGAGCAGCGTTGTCAGCGAGGTGCTTACCACTAATCCCACAGTGAACAGGTAGCTACTGAAAGATTACGTAATGTCTTTTGTTAGTGCCGCGATGACAGATTTCATGGATTTGAGATACCATCTAATGGTAGTTCTCGCGTCGTAGACTTCGCATACGTAAAAGGGCCGCCTTGGAGTCGCAGAGGATAGCCCAATTAGCAGGGGATTCTCGCATAACAAATCTAATTGCGGCTAGAAGGGCGGCGAGCTCGAATCCCGTAGATGTGGTAACGTGTGAAGTCTTAAACTTGACGGTGATTGACCGAGATGGAATCACAAAAGCACCTGTCAAACTTCCCGAGACTGAACCGTCCATATAGATATGAGTTCGGTTTTCGTACGATACATGCAAATGGTCCAGTGAGATCTGCTTGAGGGCTGCAGATTGACAAGCTAGCCTTTTAGGGGCGAAGCTCCTTAGGGCGTGGGCTGTGCGTCCCCTGTAGCCTGTATGTAGCCACCTCTAGTTTAGTTCTTGCAGTGTTCACTAGATGGCGGTACCATCCCCTGTATGTAGCCACCTCTAGTTTAGTTCTTGCAGTGTTTATTAGATGGTGGTACTTGTAGCTGATGATGAAAAGATGCAAGATGTTATAAACCAGAAAGCGGTACTTGTAGTTGATGAAAGACGCGAGATCTTATAAAATAGGAATGATGTCACATATGACGCGTGTCATTGGTTGAAGGCAATCGTTCGATTTAGTGCGGCGACGTACGCTAGGGGGAGCGATGTAATAAAATCGAGTGGGCAAAATGTACAGAGGATTCATGGTTTACCAGGTTTACCTCCGGAGCTTCGCCCACTCATCATCATTCACTTCGTGGATATGGCGGAATTTTTTTTGGTTATCCCCGGGACTTCAAGGTCGACAGGAGAACTTTGCAGGCACCACTCCGGGCAAGGCGGTATGGTTGCGGGTGAAAATCTCCAGGAGATGGATTGCTGGTTAGCCAGCACCATTCTGGAGAACTCTGCCTTCGGTCTTTACAGTGGCAGGCTAGCAAGGTGGTGGTTAGGTAGTCTGGATACATGGCGAATGTGCGCCCAGAGTGTTTCGACAGTTATATAGGTCGTAATCGGGTGGTCTTGGCCAATGGCAATAGTTGCGAGCGTGTTAGCACACCTAGGCAATCCCAAGCACGTGCGAAGAACTTGACCTTGAATCCACATCTAAAAGGAACCTGAGACTAATCCATGTACTATCCATCTATCCTGTGCACTTATCCCGTAGCTTGTTCTTTTTGTGATCGCTGCAACGTCCTAAGTACGAATCCATAGCAACTCGCTTAATTTTCAGTTCTAAGTAATTCGTGTAAACGATGCAATCTACAAAGCTTCAAGTTGAACAATAGGAAAAGGCCTTTACGAAATACTCACTCAAGCAAGGGCACGCGTATGATGTAGTTGGTGTAGAATGCAAATCCTGCGAGGATCACCCAGAGCACCTCGTACCACAGCACGCGCAAGAATCCACAGAAGACGTGGAAGCCGGAATTTCGCCCCGTCCTGGAAGCGCACAAGCTTTAGGATGAGTAATCGGTGCGTTTCTGAAGATCTACAGGTCTCTCTAAAAGAGGGAACACGCAAGCAGGTACACAAGAAAGTGGCTAAGACACCACAGTGAGATCAATTAGTGCTTTTAGCTGCATTGCCCACAGTACACTCTACGCCAAGAAAAATGGTTTTATCCTAAACAGTGTAGCTATTAGAAAAACAATCCGAAACGCATATTTACGCACAGTCGGTGAACAAACCAAATCACCGAATGGATTTCACGTTGAAGACAAGAGGAGTGGTTGACGTTGAACAAGGCCTGACATTACTTAACCATACGGAACATCTACAATGAAAGCGCCACCCCAAATTTGGAGTACGCTCGAGCTTATATCGACTTCAAAAGCAAAAAGCGATAGCGCATTCTATAATCTACCGTGACCCAGTTCACACGGCCTTCCCAATAGCCAGGCTTCGATTCTCAGTGGGCACCACGCAGCAAGAAAATAGACGTCTGTGCAAGTGTGAATTGCCCATATCCTATGTAGGCTAAAGATTGCCTGCTCAATTATACTTGCCCACTACAACACGACTCTTCCTTTAGCGAATCGGGAAAGTATACCCACTATATGCGTCCGTAAGACAAAACGCGCACATCGCAACTGCAGGCGCTGTTCACGCTGTTGCTGACAATGACGATTACCTATTCCGATGAGCACTGTGACGGGTGACCCTTAACCACGTGTCGCGTAATATTACGCGTGTTCAGAGAGTGTATATCCTCACACTACGTGATATTCGTACAAGTTTTCCTTTCGGAACCAGTTTTAAGCACTGCAGCATGACTTTGCTCGCCCAGCTGTAGGCCTAGACTCCATTCACGTTCGAAATGAACATTTCATATGCGAAGAATTTCTTTGCCTACCGCGGACGTCCATCCGTGTGCTCGCCCATACATCCATCCGCGGGCGGGTATGTGCCACAGGTATGTGAGGACGTGCCACAGGTGATGCACTTAGTATCTACCCAGAAAGGGCGAGAACACACGTGGGTAGTTTTAACGCGTGAGCGTGAAGGATAAGCGACACCGGCAGCGTTTATCCGATGAAAGCAAAGAATAAATGTCAATGTCCCAGGAGGAATCCAGCCCCGGCATTCTGCGTGGCAATCTAGTATTCTACCCCGTAGCCACGCCAGATTTCGAAACTGCTTTGAAGAAAAAAAAAAGGCTAGTCAGTCCTATTGTTGGTGAAAGATCAATTGTGGTTGCAATGCTGGCTTTCTAAGTTTAAAAACACTGGCAAGGCCAGGTCTCGAAACTGCTTTAGGGAAAAAAAAAGCTTATTCAGTCTTAACGTTAGTGAAAGATCAATTGTGGTTGCAATACTGGCTTTCTAAGTTTGAAAACATTGCGCATGTGCTCCTATGATACAGGCGTTGTATACATAAGCACCACCAAGTGAAGTTGGTCTATGCGTAGCACAACCTAGGGCTACCATCATTGCAAGCACCAGCGCTACATATCAGATTACCACAGGTGTTGAAAATACCTACGTTGTTTCTGGCGTCGTTACACAGCTGTAAACAACTGGTTGTATAAACATATGCGACTGTTCAATATATGTCTGTGCGTGCAACATTCGTACATATCTCTAGCGTCATTTCGTAACGTTTCGGTGAAACGAAAAAAATGCACCAGTGTCTCCTTCTCTCAGCATGTTTCGCGTAACATCGATTCCCAAGCTACGAAATATGGGCCAGATTATCTTTTTTTATTTATTTGAATCACTTCCGAACTATCGCTCACTGAGAACGCTGATTTTTTTTTTTCCTTCCAGTGAACGATCCGACACAGTGCGTGTGAAGTAAGCTTTTTAACGCTGTCTTGATAATGAAACAACTACGCTGGATATGTAAACACTGTTTATCCAGGTGTTTTGAGCCCCTCAGCGGACGCGCAACTGGAAGTCGAGTGTTGATTACGACCGTCTATTATTACAGTCCGATGACCCTAATGAAGACGCGAGTAAAAACTGACACCTTTTATCTACAGAGAGAGAGAGAGAGACAGACAAAGGGAAGCCGGGAGGTTAACCAGATATTGGCATCTGTTTGCTACCCAGCACTGGGGGCGGGGAAATAGGGTCAAGCGTGCTATATAACATACGACATGGCAGACTGTTTCTTCGCATCGTGGTACGATGTACCCGCATGCATATACCGTTTGTGCATGCAGCGAATTCATACCATTTGAGTGGCGAAGAACGTAAATTGCGGACAAGAAGTCGGCTTTTCAGTCTTCGCATGAGCGGAAAAATGTCTCCCTCCACAGTGACGGAATAAAGGCCGGCGTTGATGATGTGCCTGCGTAAAACACATTGTTCGAACAGGTAAGCGCTAAAGTGCATGCTCTTTGAAACACTTCGCGCGCATAAGCAAATACATCCAACAAGTATACCTGTAAAAGTGTGGCGCACGTTAACTGTTACCTATAACTGCAGTTTCCAAATTGTGACGTAAATTTAAAAAATTACGTCACAATTTAATTTGTTGTCAAAAAAGCAGCCTTTCCATCGGTGGGGTCGAACTCACAACCTTTTACAATCACGCGTAAGACACTCTACAAATTGGGCTGCGACGGGAGGCACTCTCCCGTCCTCTTCGTTTGGTATCTCTGTCTATTTAATATCTCGAAGCATGGAGGTCTTGAAGCGTTAACAGGCACCGCTCAGCCTGCAAGCAGCGTTGGTAAACACTCCCAAGGATTGCATGTAGAGAAATACTAAATGAGTTCATGAAAGCCTTGTTCCGCTGAGCTGGCTTACAGGCGACACGGTGGAATTAGCAGTATATATATGAATGAGGCGGTAATGGATTGGGAAGCACCATCCAACGTACCTCTATTTGGTGGAGGGCCGGATGCGTTATTCGAGGTAGTGGGCGCGTATATCATTCATGGGAAAAGGGATTTTGAGTTCCTTTCATTACACATCAACACGCGTCACAGTTGCTACACTGTAGTCAGGAACAAAAATTACCATACCCTGTGTTTCCCCTGGTCTGATTGCCTGTTGCATCTCCATTTCAAACGTTATTTGCCATTCTGTGTTCTATCTGCATACAAGTGTTTCGACGCACTGCGCAATCTATAGCGGTGGACAAAGGTAATGAGCAATGTCTCAAGAACAGAATATGGAGCAACCAGCACAACAGTCGACAAGAAAAAACTCAACTCACCTAAACACTGCAGCGCCCACGCACTTTGCAAGAGGTGAAAGCGTTTCGTCACTCACATTGCGTTGCACCTGCAGATAAGCGGCGAGTCAGTATTGCACGCGCAGTGCATCGCCAGACGAGAGCACACGGTGCTTTCGATCGATCGATCGATCGATAGATAGATAGATAGATAGATAGATAGATAGATAGATAGATAGATAGATAGATAGATAGATAGATAGATAGATAGATAGATAGACAGACAGACAGACAGACAGACAGACAGACAGACAGACAGACAGACAGACAGACAGACAGACAGACAGACAGACAGACAGACAGACAGACAGACAGATAGATAGATAGATAGATAGATAGATAGATAGATAGATAGATAGATAGATAGATAGATAGATAGATAGATAGATAGATAGATAGATAGACAGACAGACAGACAGACAGACAGATAGATGGATAGATAGATAGATAGATAGATAGATAGATAGATAGATAGATAGATAGACAGATAGATAGATAGACAGACAGACAGACAGACAGAGGGATAGATAAATAGATGGATAGATAGATAGATAGATAGATAGATAGATAGATAGATAGATAGATAGATAGATAGATAGATAGATAGATAGATAGATAGATAGATAGATAGATAGATAGATAGATAGATAGATAGATAGATAGATAGATAGATAGATAGATAGATAGATAGATAGATAGATAGATAGATAGATAGATAGATAGATAGATAGATAGATAGATAGATAGATAGGATATGTGGGGTTTGACGTCCCAAAACCACCATATGATTGTGAGAGACGCTGTAGTGGAGGGCTTCGGAAATTTAGACCGTGCACCTGGAAATGTTTAACGTGCACCCAAATCTGAGCACACGGGCCTACACCATTTCCGCCTCCATCGGAAATGCAGCCGCCGCAGCCGAGATTCGATCCCACGACGTGTGGGTCAGCAGCCGAGTACCTTAGCCACTAGACCACCCCGGCGGGGCTATTCAGCATGTTCACAAAACTCTGTTTATCGGTATTCGAGGCTCTACAGATCGTGATTCAAATGTTATAGCGCTGCTCGTGGCTTCGAATTTACAAATATTTTTGAAATTCACATAGAAATCGCTTTCCTTTCTCTCGTCGAATGATGCCGAAAACCGCCCCGTCGCGGTGGTCTAGTGGCTAAGGTACTCGACTGCTGACCCGCAGGTCGCGGGATCGAATCCCGGCTGCGGAGGCTGCATTTCCGATGGAGGCAGAAATGCTATAGGCCCGTGTGCTCAGATTTGGGTGCACGTTGAAGAACCCCAGGAGGTCGAAATTTCCGGAGCCCTCCACTACGGCGTCTCTCATGTTCATATGGTGGTTTTGGGACGTTACACCCCACATATCGAATCAATCAAAATCAATCATGCCAAAAACCCAAATGATGGCGCCAGAACCGAATTCACAGCTATTGGCTGATTTCGGCATCACGAGCTTCATAGTTACCATGGCCGTCGCGACCTGAGCGCTCGTGAATACGAAGTAAGCAGCGCGTTCCAAGAAGAGGAAAAAAAACGTGGCTCATCTCACTGCTTAGAAATCGATAAACAATAAAGTTTAACGTGTCATCGAGGAGAGCAGTTGAGCGTTTTTTTATTGTATTGTTTCACCACAAGGACGAAAAAATGAATGCTACAGTAACAAATCCTAATGTCACGCGAAGAAAGGCAAGCAACTCTAAACTTGCAGCGCGCTGCTCAAGCAAAGAGCATGTGCGAAATGAGCGTACACAAGACGAGCGCGGACTAACATCTGTCAAAGCTCGACTTTAAACCGCGCTGCTCTTACAGAGATTAGGACGCTCGAAACGAGCGCTCAAAAATACAGAGGACGAGTGCGAACAACATTCACAATTTTACTTCATCGTATGTGAGCAGAGCGGCTGTGGCAGCGAGCGAAGCGACCTTGAGCGCTCTCCCGTATCACGAGTCTCATAAGCGCGCGCACAGCAGAGACCACGCTCCGTGGAGGCGGCACTCCTGAAACGCTAGAGGCGACGATCTATTTAGAGCGCACTCAGAGGCAAGCCCTTCGCGCCATGACGAAGACGCGCTAAAGTTGCAGAGCTCTGAGAACCGCCAAACAGTATATGCTATACGTATATAAATAGCTTGACGTCAGCAAGCTTGCCAACGTATATTCGATTTTTGGTCTAGTGGCCTCGAGCCGCGCGTTGCGGAGCGAGAGGGCGTAGCTTCGACGCCCGGCAACAGAACAATTTCTTTTTTTTCTTTGCAATCTGTTTGGGTACAATTTAGAATGTCATATCCGTGACGAAAATACGACAGCGGAGCCGTGGTGGACCCCGGTCGCATTATAGAAGAACACCAGCGTAATCAGACTTAGGCGAATAATAAAGAGCCGCAGCTGATGAAAATTAACCACGAGTCCTCCACTACGGCGTACGTTTAGTTGGCTTGTTTGTTTGTTTCTTTTTTTTCGTATACCGCAATCTCAAACATATTTCAGCGGCTATTGTACATAAACGTATTTTGCACAATAAGGTACCAACATACTTGTACCATGTAAGTACATAAACGATAAGAAGGGAAGATTTAAACGTAAGAGGCAAGAATATTCGACAATGCATAGTATCAACAGCCCAGATACCAAAAACGTTCCAACAACGAAAAAAACACACAACTAATATATAATCAAAAGCAACGCTGTCATCAAAGAGACCACGAATGTTGGGCAGCAGCGTTTCCGGTTGGGCTATACCCCTGAACAAACACACCAGAAAAGAGACTTCGCTTAAAACAGGTTTTTCCTCGAAACGAAAGTGTTGTAACAAAAGAGTGCCTTCGGTACCATGGACTAAGTATACGTAATAAGAGAGGTACGTATGCAATAAGGTCATTTGAGTCATTGGTAAAAAATAACTCTGGTAGGCAACTTCGATTTTGACTGATAATTTATAGCAATCCCCTTTGTTTGATGAGTACAGCCAATCACGTGCCCCAGCACGATTAACATACAGTATGCAAAAAACAATTTCCCAATCACTGGTCAGCCTTTCTTTTTTTCTTAGGGGGGGAGGAAGGGGGGCTTATTTGAATTTTACCAGTCAATTTAGTTATTTTAGTGTTCCCCAATAGCGCGTTTGTCATGCACTCACAGCACGTTTATCGATAACTTTGAGTAATTTAGTGCTGAAGTCAAACATACACTGGGTAAATCAACTAGTAACGTTAGTCACGCACTGAAAAACATGCATTTCAGCGAAGACACCACCCTTGTGACAATGTCAAAAACTAAATATGTGATATTGCCCTTATATCTATACATATTTTCGCCATACACAGCTGCAAATACTCCCCTTCATTTTGAATTGACATTTTCTTATTAGGATGAAAAATTGAAACATTTTCAAGAACGAGAAAAATATTTCAATTTTCACTGTTCTTTGGGGGGGGGGGGGATGATTATTTGCTTGTCAGATCGATAGCATCTCGCAAATACGGTTCAGGCAGATTTCATGCCTTAGGTAGTTTAAAAGCGTTTATTGATGAGCTTCCAATTCACGATAATACGAAGTGCTACGCGATGCCAGCTGGCCAAAGCAGAGTGTTTCACACACGTGGCTGAGAGCGACGCTGACTAAAGCTCCGTGGATAACAAAAAAAACTAAAAATACCGTTAAAAAGGAAGGCAAAGCGGCCTAGCCTAATTGCTAAAGCATCCGACATGTTATACCAAGGTTGCAGCTGCAGTTCCCACCTGCGGCAAGAAGATTTTTTGTCGATTATAATTCATTTCTTTTATGTAATAATTTCTACCCTACTTAAAAGCATACAATGACCACTGCGCATGGCATAGCTTCATCGCCTGTTGATTTCATTAAGTTGTGCCTAATCCGAAAAACGATCCTTGAATGAATTTTCACTTCTTCGTATACTTTTTTCTCACATCACATCTTCATATCACGCATTTTGCTTTACAACTTTGTACCACTAGTTTTTAAGCTTTGATCGTTGCCGCTCGGAGTGCTGCGTAAATATTTTCACACATACCGTTTCAGTAATCAAGCCAACTGAGCTCTCACCTTCATGCTGTCCTTGATGTAGACGGGACTGCTTCGAAAACAGGCGAACAAAAGGCTCCCAAGTGCGGCGACCATCGACAGTGAACACCACGTGGTAGCCCACGAAAACTCGTCCGCACTACCGTAGGTAGCTGCCTGGAAGGATCCGCGTATCTATAATAGTTGCTGGGGTTGGACGTTCCAAAACAACGAAATTACGGGCGGCAAGGCACGCAGGCACAATGTAGAGAATGTTAACATTTAAAACAGCAAAGGCCCACGGCTGCTTAAATGTTGAAACATATATAGTCAAAAGCAATAGCACTCTTGTTGTTTTGATTCAAAGATCAAGAAATATAGCTTTTAAAAATGATTTGTCATTTCAAATAGCTCAGGTTGATTCCTTGAACGTTACATAGGTGTGCTAAAATAACATTTATTTGTTGATTTATTTATTTATTTATTTATTTATTTATTTATTTATTTATTTATTTATTTATTTATTTATTTATTTATTGCTTCAACCTCGAGCGAATAGGTTCGAGTAACTTCGAAAGCCAGTAATACCACTCACCTGCGCGAAAGTCAAGTCTTTCATACACAAGAGGTCGTTCACACAGGCGACGAAATACATCGCGTGCACCGTGCAGAACAAGTTGGAAGCAGACATGCCTTTGATGCGTTGCATGAGAGCGCTGAACGTGAGCCACACCTGTCAATACGAACACGCATGCACGCGAAACGGTTGAAGACACCGAAGCGAATCAGAACATCTCAGACAACTTGAATCTTTATACTTGAAGATCATTGAACTTTGAAGGAAAATTTTAATGAACATTATTCTCATCGTTTACAGAAACAGGCGAGTCGGGCGAACACATTTCTCAGCATTCTTTACGACTAGTGAAGTAATTCGAAACAAGACCCCCATACGCTGATAACGTATCCCGAATATAAAGAATAACTCCGTTCTCAGTCATTTATTTTATTTATACATTGCTATGATGACATTCAAAAAGATAACATGTAAACTAAAACATTTTAGGTAAATGCAAATGGATTTATGCCTTTTTGGCAATCAACGATTCTAAAAGGCTCAAAGAATAATAATATTAGGCTATACGGCGGCCATGGCGCCAACGCAGGGCGGAGCGCGTGATATAAGCGCCGATAAAAATCACTACATAAGAAAGCGCGTGGCGATTTGAGCTGCTATCGAAAAAACACCGCATGCGTGCACAGCAGCGCCGCCACTCAGTCAACGTTTCAGCAGTGCAGGACCTTCAGCAATGTTCTATCTATTACCAAAAAAAGTAACTAAATACGTTACTTGTTACTCCACACACGCACAAAAAAAATGGAACGCGTTACCGCCCCACGTTACTGTTACCGTTAAACATAAAAAGACAATTTTATTCTTCCTATTTTGCACTGACTTACTTTTTCTGTGTTTTCACTCTTCTTATTTGATTTTTGTGAAGAGTGTCTGTGTTGTATAGTTTATTTGTATTGTTTTATTCTTGTGTGCGCCTCCACTAAGACCTCACGATTCTTCTAGCTTACGTTAAATAAATGGCTGACTTACTACTACCAATTATGACCAATTAATAATATTCTCTCCCTGAATACCTCGAATACCAAGTACTTGAGTATATGTCGCCGAAAATCCATCGTGTCATTGCCAAACTCTGTCAATACCATGTCAATACGTAATGTTTATGAGTTAAGTGAACGCCAGGCCTGCGCAGAAGGCGCAGCGCAGTGACAGCGAAAGCTAGGAGAGCAGCCTGACAGAGCCTTTTCTATACACTCATTGGGTTACAGCTGCAAGCACACTTGCTGGGTACCCACTACATCGTTATTAATCATAATTTCTGGGTAGCAGGCCGGCATTCGCTATGCTATATCCTTCGTCATCCTTCTGAGAAGCGTGGTATCCGCTAAACACCAGCAAGAAATTTTGTGCCAATCGTTCATGCAGTGGCTGACGACGATGAGGAATTATGGTTGGAATGGGTATGCGCCACACTTGGTGATCATTTTGCACCGTCCCATTCATGGCCTATCCCCCTAGGTGGGTTGCGCCAAGGTGTTGAGGAACCAACCAACCAACCAACTTGGTGATCAAGAACAAGCTTTTGTAACGGGTTGGAGCATTGGACGACCCACTCATAACGCTATTCGCATTGTGCGACGACTGGTTGTTTTTTCGCTGTTCTACAACGCTTTATAGGGCGTACTAACGCGATTCCTTTACCGACACAGAGCCTGCCTAAGGCTGAGTTTGCCAACGAGTCCCAAGCGCTGGCGTGGCTCGAAGTCGCATGATTGATAGACACGCCGAGCCACCGCGGTCGACGAGATCCGTCTTCCGAGAAGCAGCTACTCAAATGCACAGTGTTGTTGAGACTTTTGACCCTGTTCCGGAGTGGCATCCCTTTCTGGACGCTTGTGTGTATTTGCCCGACTTCTAATGAAGTATGTTGTGCGTAGTACACAATTATTGGTGATGATTTCATGCATTAAAGAAAACAGCACCAGCGTAGCTCAGTGGTACAGTACTGGGCTGGAACGCAGCGCAGCCGGATTCGAGCCCCACTGTGTCCTTGGTATTTCTTTATTTACTGATTTTTTTTCTTTCGATACTGGTTACAGACACCGGCGACGGCAGCGGACAACTACGGCACCACGCGTGACCCATGTTCTGATCTCATAACATTTTTCGCTGTAATCGACAAGCGAAGAATCATGAAAAGGGAGTGCAAGTATACAGGGGGATGAAACAAATCGGCCCCGTATCAGCATGTTACACTGCGAATGTCGTCTGAGGAGAGTGAACAAAACGTTTATTTGATTTTCTTCGCAAGAAAATCGGTGAATAGTATACTAGGGCGCTGCGTTAAAGTGCCTCGAGCGTGCAGCGGAGGCGAACGAGCGCATCAAGTCACGTCACACGTAAGACATGAGCGCTATCTAGCAGTTATATTGGAAAACGAAGCGCGCGCGCCTTGCGCGCCCGTCTCGGAGGTGATATGGTGTAGAACGCAAGGCGACCGGTAGGTGCCACCACCGTGTCGTCTGAGCAAAGCGTTGGAAAGCGCTGCCTGGTCTGCGCAACATGATAAACGCTACGGTCCTTATAATTACTTATTTATTTATTTATTTATTTATTGGTACCCTCAGGGCTTACAAGAAGCATTGTAGAGGGGAGGGGCTGAAGTAAATGAAAACACTATAAGGAATACACAGAAAAAGTGGCACTAAGAGATAGAGCACAAAAGGAAACAAACTAGATAAGTTTATACATGAACTAACAAAAGAAAATAGGACGAAAAAATACACTTTGACGTCGCAATCACAGTGAATGTCAGTGCATGTTGCACAAAAAATAATCGACTGATGCCTTTTCAATACACATGTTCAAAAAAAAAAAAAAAAAAAAAAAATAAAATACACATGTTCAAAAAAAAAAAAATGATACATGAAAAAGCAAATTTTATCGAGTTACACACACAAAAAGAAAACATCAGTGCAAGGCAAAAAAAAAAAAAAAAAAAAAAAAAATTGTTGAGATCAAGACCGGTACAGAGATAGGTGGTAAAGAAGTAAATTGCAGTTTCAGTGTGTTGTAAATGCATTTGTGAACGTGATGCAGCTTTATAGCGTGTTCGTTAATGCTTTCCGGAAACGGTCAGGGTCTCTGATTGCGACTAGTGACGCAGGCAGGTGATTCCATTCATAAGATGTTTTTGGCAAGAATGAATATGAGTAGGTGACTGTGCGCTGTGATGGTACGTGAACTTTGAAAGGGTGGTCGACACGTGGGGAGATATAGGATGCGGATGTGATGTATCGGGACTTCAACTCATTGTTATGATAATATATTTTATGAAAAAGGCAAAGACGGGATAACCTCCTACGAGAAGAAAGAAGGGGAATGCCAAGTGTTCGTTTCATGTCAGTGACACTGGCAGTTCGATGGTAGTTGTGAAGGATGAAACGGACCGCTCGATTTTGCACATTTTCAATTATGTTTGTCAGACTAGCATGACCAGGATCCCATATGGAGCATGCGTATTCAAGGTTAGACCTAACATAAGTAATGTACAGCTGTTGCTTTAACTTCGGGGGAGCTAAGGAAAAATTACGTTTTAAATAACCAAGCATGCGGTTAGCTTTCGATGTAATGTATTCTATGTGTCTTTTCCATGAGAGATTGTTAGTAATATGCACACCAAGATATTTATAGGATATTACTTGATCAAGTGAAGTATTATTCAGTAAATAATTAGGGCATGCTGAAATACTACGGGAAATTCTCATTGTTTTGCATTTAGACGTGTTAAGGTCCATAACCCAGAGCTTACACCATGTCGAAATGTTATTAAGATCATTCTGCAGTGTTAGGGTATCATTAGGGCCTTCAATCTTGCGATATAAAACACAATCATCGGCAAATAAACAGATGGAACTTGTGATTTGGTTAGGAAGATCATTGATGTATATTAAAAAAAGTAATGGTGCTAAAACAGAGCCCTGAGGTACGCCTGAGTCAACCGGTACTTCAGGAGAGTTTTTATCATTAATGCTGACATATTGCGTTCGGTTGGATAGAAACTCTCGAATCCAATTGAAAACCAGGGGATCAATGCTTAACTGGCTGAGTTTAAATAAGAGTAAGCGGTGACTGACGCGGTCAAAAGCCTTGGCGAAATCTAAAAATATGCAGTCTACTGTAAAACCATTGTCTAGAAATGCGTGAAGATCATTGCAAAATGTTGCTAGCTGTGTTTCGCATGAGAATGTCTTACGAAACCCATGCTGACTACTATGAAAGAACTTATTCGATTCTAAAAAATTGACCAGATGGGAGAAAATGACGTGTTCGAATATCTTACAAGGAATTGAAGTCAGGGAAATAGGTCTATAGTTTTGAGGGTTGTGTGTGTCACCGGATTTATGAAGTGGTATCACCTTGCCTGTTTTCCAGTCTTTAGGTAAGGAACTACTGTTCAGTGATTTCGTGAAAATAAGGTTTAGTAGGATGGAACTATATTCGCCGGTAGCCTGCAAAAATTTCGACGTGATGCCATCAATACCGCACGAGGACGATCTCTTTAAATTGTTAATGATGGAGCGGATACCAGACGAGTCAAGTAAAAAGGGTTCCATGGGAACGTAGCTAGGCGCAGTGAAACGTGGACAGATGTCAGGGTGAGTAGCACAAAATGAACGGGCAAAAACAGTGTTAAGTGTGGAAGCGCACTGGCTGCTTGGGATTGACTCGCCAGATTTATCAGTAAGAGCTATAGTTAGATTATCCCGGTTTCTCACGACATTCCAAAAGCGTTTTGGGTTGCTTTGGAGCAATGACGGAAGTGTATTATTATAAAATTTAAACTTAGTTTCTTTTAATGCACTGGAGTATGCTTTTGCCGCGGTTGTATAAGTGGACCACTTATCAGCAGATGACGATTTCTTGGCGGCACGAAAGAGCCTTTTTTTTTTGTTAGACAGCCGGTTGAGGTACCTTGAATACCATGGCGCGTTGGATGAATGATAAACCTTCCTTACAGGGATATGCTTTTTTATTAGATGCAGTGCTTTGTCTTTGAAACACGTCCATATTTTCTCGACCGTAGCATCATTGTAAGAAAGACAAAAGCTGTCGAGAAATGAGGAAAGCTCGGTGTTGATAGCCTCAAAGTTGGT